CTGATCCTCCTGCCACTACCTCTGAGGAGCTAGAATTACAGGAGGCAGAACCATGTCAAATTTATGTAGTTTTGATGAGCCAACCCAGAGCTTCACACATGCTGGGCAAGCATTTTTAATTGTTTCATTCTTGTATCCTTTTTCAATGGTAAAATAGAATTTGCATAAATGTCACCAGTGGCACAACATACACACACACACACACACACACACAAAAAAAAAAAAAAAAAAAAAAAAACAGCACTGCAGATAGAATGGGACATGTTGCTGATGCTCTCCTGCTGGGGCCAGTTTGGATAATGTCACACTATAGCCCAGTGGGTTTTATCAGATTTCCTCTCATGCAGTTTGTGTTGGGCTGAGGATGGTAGAATACTTGTTTTGGGTTTGTGAGACCTTAGGTTCTATCCTCAGCACCATAAAACTAGTTAATTATTTAGACTTCACTTTAAAAAATATTTATTTATTCACTTTACATCCCAAGCATAGCCCCTTCCTTTTTCTCCTCCCTGTCCCACCTCCCCTCCCTCTTTCCCTCTTCTCTTCCCTTATTCCTCAGAAAAAGGGAGCCTCCTCCCCTACCCACTCACCCCAACCCATCAAGCCACATCAGGACTGGTCATGTCCTCTTCCCCTGTGGCCTGGTGAAGCACCCCCACTAGGGAGGAGTGATTAGAAAGCAGGCAAATGAGTCCATGTCAGAAGACAGCCTCTGCTCCCCTTGCTAGGGAACCCACATGAAACCTGAGCTTCCCATCAGCTACATGTAGGGGCCTAGGTCCAGTCTATGCATGGTCTTTGGTTGGTGTTTTAGTCTCTACAAGCCCCTCTGGGCCCTGGTTCCATGGTTCTGGTGGTTTTCTTATGGAGCTTCAGTCACTTCCACGTCTTTCTATCCATCCACCCACTTTTCCACAAGATTTCCTATGCTTCACCCAATGTGTTTGACTGTGAGTCTCAGCATCTGTTTCTATCCACTGCTGGGTAGAGACTCTCAGAGGACAGCTATTGCTAGGCTCCTGTCTGTGAACATAGCAGAGTATTGTTCTTTAATAGTGTCAGGGGTTGGCTGTCTCCCATGGGGTGGGTCTCAGGTTGGGCCAGTCATTGGTTGGACATTCCCATAATCTCTGCCCTATGTTTATCCCTGTACATCTTGTTTCAGTCAAAGTTTTTGAAGATGGGTTGGTGTTGCTCTCCCTCCACTAGGAGTTCTGCCTAGTTAGAGGGTGTCCTCTTCAGTCTCCATGATCCTTGTTACTAGGAGTCTCAGCTAGAGTCACCCCCTACTATCCCCAAAGCCTACCCTGTCCTAGGTCACCAGCTTGTCATGGAGATGCCTCCACCCATGGTTTCTCTTCTCTCTACAGGCCCTCGGTCCTCCCACAGCCTGCTCTCCCAGGTCTGATCTCCACCCTTATTTCTCTCTGTGTTCTTTCTCCTATGTTGTTCCCTCTCTCAACCAACTTCCACTGTCTATTGTATTTTCCCTTCTGAGAGAGATTTAATCATCCTCCCTTGGGTCCTCCTTATTGCTTATCTTCTTTGGGTCTGTGGATTGTAGTATGTTTATCCTGTACTGTATAGTGGACTACATTTTTAAGCTATTCTTTAAAAATCATTTTCTTTTTATCTATTTCCTTAGTATGTGCGTGTGTGCTCTCTCTCTCACACACACACACACGTAGGTGTGCGTGTGCCTACATATGTGTGTGTGTGCATTTATGTGGGATTCCAGGGATTGAATTTAGGTCATTAGACTTGGCAGAACGTGCTTTTACCCTTTGGGCCATCTCCTCAACCCCCGTTGAGCTATTCTTGATGAACCATCCAATGAAAATAAAAATGTTAAATAAAAATGATTTTAAAGTACATCAAAAAATATTAGCTGTGAGATGACAAGACAACAACAAAAAAAATCGAAACATCAGGTAGGGCTATCTGCTCCAATCAAATACAATTCATGAATATTTTATTTACAAAGAAATTAGAAGTACATTATTGAAAAATGTTTCAACCCTTAGCTGAGGACTGTTGACTATTGGAGGAGAGAGAATCATTTTTCTTTGGAGCTGTGGCACTATTAAGTTCCCCATGCCTCAGTGGATGGTGTCACACCTAAACAAATATGGGCAACATGAGCTGCACTCAGTGGGTTAGAGGACAAAAGGAGGTCAGGTTCGGAGTTGGAAGCAAAACATATCAGGGGAGGTTCAGGAGGAGTTGGAGAAGAGATAGGGTTTGGGGGATGGATATGATCAAAATACACTGGATTCATCTATGGACTTATCAAAAAATGTAAAAATGCTTTAAAAAGAACCCCCCCCCCAATAAAGGCAGAAGTGGGATAGTTGGAAAAAAAGAGAGATGTTTCAAAATTAAGTCATTATATATAAGCAAACCTTTTCAGTGTTTTGTTGTTGTTAATTTTTCTTTTATTTTTCCTTTTTTTTAATTACAATTTATTCATTTTGTATCCCAGCAGTAGACCCCTACCTCATTCTCTGCCAACCCCATCCACCCTCCCTTTTCTCCCTCTATGTCCATCCCAAAGTCTAATGTTAGGGGAGGTCCTCCTCCCCTTCTATCTGACCCTAGCCTATCAAGTCTCATCAGGAGTGGCTGCATTGTCTTCCTCTGTGGCATGGTAAGGCTGCCCCCAATTAGGGGGAGGTGATCAAAGAGCCAGCCAATTAGTTCATGTCAGAGACATCCCTTGTTCCTCTTACTAGGAAACCCACTTGTACACTGAGCTGCCATGAGCTACATCTGAGCAGGGATTCTGCGTTATCTCCATGCATCATCCTTGGTTGAAGTATCTGTCTCAGAAAAGACCCCTGGGCCCAGAATTTTTGGTTCTGTTGGTCTCCTTGTGGAGCTCCTGTCCCCTCCAGGTCTTTATATCTCCCCTTCTTCCACAAGAGTCCCTGCACTCTGCCCAAAGTTTGGCTATGAGTTATGGCATCTGCTTCAATACCCTGCTGGGTAGAGTCTTTCAGAGGCTGTGGTAGGCTCCTGTCCTGTTCCCTGTTTTCTCCCTCTTCTGATGTCTCTCCTATTTGCCTTTCTGAGTGAGGATTGAGCATCTTACCCAGGGTCTTCCTTCTTGCTTAGCTTCTTTAGGTGTCCAGATTTTAGTATGTTTATCCTATGTTACATGTCTAATATCCACTTATAAGGGAGTATATACCATGTGTGTGCTTCTGCTTCTGAGATACTCTTTTCTAGTTCCCACCATTTGCCTGCAAAATAATAATTTCCTGTTTTTAATTGCTGAGTAGTATTCTATTGTGTAAATGCACCACAATTTCTGTATCCATTACTTAGTTGAGAGACATCTGGGTTGTTTCCAGATTCTGGCTATTACAAATAAAGCTGCTATGAACATGGTTGAGCAAATGTCCTTGTTGTATGCTAGAGAACATTTTGGATATAAGCCTAAGAGTGATATAGCTGGATCTTGAGGCAGCACTATTCTTCATTGTCTGAGAAAGCACCAGACTGATTTCCAAAGTGGTTGTAAAAGTTTACATTCCCACCAGCAATGGAGGAGGGTTCCCCTTTCTCCATATCCTCTCCAGCATGTGTTGTACAACAACAGATCATCTGGAGGTATTTCCATCCCTGGTCTCAAGCTGAACTACAGAGCAGCAGTAATAAAAAGTACATGGTATTGGAATAGAAATAGAATGGTGGATCAATGGAATAAAATAGAAGGCCCAGAAATAAACCTACAAACCTATGGATACTTGATTTTGACAAAGAAGTCAAAATCATACAATGGAAAAAAGATTGTATCTTCAACAAATGGTGCTGGTCTAACTGGATATCTACATGTAGAAAAATGCAAATAGATCCATATTCATCACACTGCACAAAACTAAAGTCCAAGTGGATCAACGACCTCAACATAAAACCAGACCCACTAAACTTCTTAGAAAAAAAAGTGGGGAAGTGCCTTGAACTCAGTGGCACAGGAGACAGCTTCTTGAACTGAACACCAACAGCACAGGCTCTAAGTTTAAAAACAATCAGTAAATGGAATCTCATGAAACTGAAACGCTTCTGTAAAGCAAAGGACACTGTCAGCAGAACAAAACGACTGCCTACAGACTGGGAAAGGATCTTCACCAACCCTATATCTGACAGAGGGCTAATATCCAGAATATATAAAGAACTAAAGAAGTTAAACAGCAAAAAAAAAAAAAAATCAAGTAATCCAATTAAAAAACTGATAAACAGAGAATTCTCAATAGAGGAATATAGAATTGCAGAGCAACACTTAAAGAAATGGTCAACACCCTTAGTCATCAGGGAATTGTGAATCAAAATGACCTTGAGATTTCACCTTACACCCATCAGAATGGCTAAGATCAAAAACTCAAGTGACAACACCTGCTGTAGACGATGTGGAGAAAGGGGAACCCTCTTTTATTTTTTTAAACTCTTAACTTATAGCCCATGTTTCAGAACATATCAGCTATGTTAATCTATTCACACCCACCTCATTGTCATATATGTATGTACGTGTTTGCTGCTGGGGTGCAGACCTGGTTCCATAAGGAATTGTTTCTATTTGTGTTGACTTATTACTTAATCTTTGTAGTGCTGTAGATCGTTCAAGCTAGGGAAGTGCTCTACCACTCAGCCACATAGCCAGTTCTGTAAAGGTCTTTGTCATTAAAATATGTTACAGTCAATGGGAGAAAAACAGGATACAGGCTACATTGGTTCCTTTTCAGCGCTACTGAAACCAGTTGGTTAATTTTCTTTTCTTTTTTTTTTCTATGATAGTGGTAATGGAAGCCAGAGCCTTGTGTATGCTAGGCAAGTGTTTTGCCTGAACTATATCTCTGCCCTCCCCACTTTCATGTGTGTGGGGGTCGGGGGCGTGCGCATGTCTCCCATGTAGCTAGAACTGTAGTCCTATACCACCAGGCTTATCACAGCCAATTAATACTTTTTTTTAAAGATAGAATACACTTTGTTAGATACAGAGATAACAGGAAGTTTTTGTTTAATGAACAAACAATTTTCACAGAGACTGTCTATATCACATTACGATTACAACATAGATGAGCTGAAACTATGTCTTGAAGATTTAGAAGAAGGGAACCCTTTTAAAGAAATCAGGCATATAGAGGTAGTTGAATAGCATTGGTGGGGAGGGAGTGTTATCTTAATTTCCCTTCAACTCATGACTGTGTAAAAGTAAAATGGCTGCTTAACAAACAAATGGAAACCAGACACACATACTCGCTTGCCACTGTTTAAGTGGTTTGCTTGATGTTTTAATCCTGGCATTACAAAGAACTGCACACAAGAATGAACTAGTTTATCTAACATCAGCCAATGGGGCCACACTGAACCGTTTGCTGTCTCTTTATCTTACTGGTTGTCATCATTGCTTGAACAATAGATGGAGGTCCACAGACTTTTAAGATAATGCATAAGGTACAGTATTGCTTTGTAAACTTCTGTTAATCACATTTGTGGCTGCAAACAGTTTTTAAATGCTACAAAGTCATGAAGCAAAAGCTTTAAAGTAACACCAGGAACAGCAGTTCCAGGCACTTCTTTCTGGAGGTTAATTAACATGTTTGGAAACACCCACTTCTAAGTGAAAACACCCACTTCTTCATTTCACCTCTGGATGTGCACAATCCAGATTACTAAGTGACTAAGCACTAGAGTGAGCAGGATCTATCATTCTAAAATGAATTGAATGTGTAGATTGTGTATAGCTCCTTTTCCTCCCTGTCCTCTGTACATTATAAACACCAGAAAGCCAAGCCTATGCCCTGTTTGCTTTTCAGAGCTATCTTCGATCCAGAATTAAAACCTCATTCCTTAGATTCAAAAACAAGCTTACAAACTGCCCATTTCTACCTTGATGAGTAGAAATGGACACACATTTCACAAGCTGGGAACTCAAGGAATGAATCAATGGCTAAAATTCACATGCTGGAAATGGAGTTGGCACAGGGAATGCAGGCCCTGGGGGGGGGGTTACAGTCCATTAACAGGACACAACCTGTTGACAGTAAGAGACCTCTGGGTGCAGTGACCCAGGCATGGGAGCTCTGAGGCTTCTGTGGTTAGTCACAGGAGTTTACCTGAACCCAGGCCAGCTCCACAGGTAGAGATGGCAGCACCACATGTGCCATCGTAACTCAACCCTGCTACTGAGGCAGCACTGAACTGAAGCAGTTGGCCTTCAGAAAAGGCAAGCTATTGGAATAATTCTTTGCACCCCCCCCAAAGTGAGGTGCAAGCATCCTTTTCTTCAAATTATCCACCGAAAAGTAGTTTCTTCCTATTTCACTTTCTACATTTTGCTGGTTTTTAGCTAGCAGCAATAGTATGGTACAAAACAGAAAGGCATAAGGTCTGCTTGCTACCTAGTGTACTGTGTGTATGCATACACACACACATACATACATATACATACATACATACACACACATAAATACATACACACACAGAAATTAATTTACAAGGAAAGAGCTGAGTCAATCATGAAGTCACATAGAAAGGAAGACTAACTCAAGAAAGTGGCACTGTCTACAAGGAGGAATCTTGTCCTTCCACTTGAGGTTTAGCTTTTATCTCTATACTTCTCATGACTGCGCTTAGAAACAGAACCCATCTGCAAATGTTAAAAATGGTCACGATCAACAATTATCCTACCCATATACATTCCAAAGAAAGTCAAAACCTACTATTCTACTTCTTGCTATTACTGCAACATGAGCTGGCTCTCCAGCTCAACATGGATCTAGACTGCTCAGAGGAAAGTGCTATTTAGTCCAGCCAAGTTTTACAAGTGCTCAAATTGGGTACCCTTTTATCAATGGAATTTTATCAGGAAACCAAATTCCTCGATCTGCTATGTGATGGGTACAGCATCAAGCTTTGCCACTTAATGAACATGTTACATAAGCATATTCTTTAAAATTGCTGAGCCCCTCTGTTTGTATCCATATGTGGGGTTAACAGTGCTGTCTAAAAGGTTATTCATGTGCTGAGGTGAGTGAGACCACTCAGTTTAGTACCTGGTACATGATAGGTTCTCAACACATCATTTGTAGAGCCTGTTATTTGAGGCAGCATAAAGAAATACCATAGACTATGTACAAAAACCATAGCTGGTGAAATCTAATTATTCTGATATAGTTGAGATTCTCAACACATTTTGAAGAACAGGGAAGGTTATTTTTATGAAGTCCGAACTTAAGCTTCCATTCTATCAGAAATTCTAGATGCCACCAATATAACACTATTTTTTTTAGCCCTTATTAAAAATGGGAACCATCTTCATGGCATAGAAATTAGTCCCTACCTCTAACCCTCAATTGCTCTCCAATCTTTATTTCCCTTACATCTTTTTTTTTTTTTTTACACTACTGGATGGAGAACACAGTGCCCCATGCATGTAAGGCAAACACTAGCAACCTAGCTGTATCTCCAGCCCTACTTTCCCAGTCTTAACCCCAATAGGAGTTACTTGCAAACTATCAAATTGTGGTCCAAGAATCAGTGGTTTGGATATTCCCAATCAAGCTTATAGCTGCTGCTAATGAGTATTGCAAGTAAAGGCAGTGCTTCATGCAACTGCAGACCATTGATGATATTCTGCAACATGGCTGATAATAGTTATAGCTTAACAAATATCTCCCATCATCAAGGCACTGTGTTAAGTAATTTCTGACATGTCCCATTTAATGTTCCTAACAAGCCTATATGCTATTAATATCGCCACCATTTTATCTTTTAATAAAATATGTAGAACAGTATCCAAATTTGCATACCATCCTTGTGAAGGAGCCATGCTTGTCTTCTCTGTATCATTCCAGTTTTAGCACGCACAAGAGTAATTTCATATATAAGAAAACTGAGGCTCAATGAAAGTTAAATTACTTGCCTAAGTAACATATTGTAGTAAGTGAAGATGCTTTTGACCTTCTTTGTTATGTTTGCACTATAGAATAGGAAGCAACCATACCACTAAGAGTTTGCCATGATCATATGGTTGGGTGGCAGGTGGCAGTTTTCCACTCTCTGAGCCCTCTAGACTTAACTTGGGTGGTATCCCCTCCTGTATTTACATTCCAATCACTTGCATTCTTCACCAACCCACATTATTCCATTAAGCAAGTGCAGATGAGCATTTGCATTTTACTTACAGGAGTCTCTTTATAGCATTTAGCAAGCATATCTCTCTGTCTCTTTCTCTCTCTGTCACACACACACACACACACACACACACACACACACACCACCTCTTTCATGTTTCTGGTGGTTATAGAAGAACCCAGACTTATTCTCTCTTTTTCTCCTCTCTCTCTCTCTCTCTCTCTCTCTCTCTTTCTCTCTCTCACCTGTTAACAGAGTGGAGGGACTATATGTGAATAACAGACCACCTGGGAGTGGTTTGCATAAGAATCAAAATGTGACAATTCACTTTTCCTGACTCTCATTTTCTCCTTTGTCATTTTAACATTCGATTTTTCAGGTTTCTCTGACATGGAAAGACTCCTGCTAGCACTAAGCAACCTGATGAATGCTACTCCTACATCTTTCCTGTCTTTTCTCTCCCTGCGTCGAAATCTTTGGCCCATGGTTACCAGGAGGGAAGGCAGTGTTTACATAAAATCATGGATTCACCCTCTGTATCTTTAGGGGTTCTAACCTACCTGATTTCTTTACACTTTAGAAAAGAAACAGTCTCTCGAGTATTTCAGCGCATGTTGGTACATGTTTTGATCCTCAGAACTATGAGAAGATGTGGGATAGGCAGGTCAAACCGAAAGCCATATCTCTGAAAAAACTGGTAAGTATTAATCTTATCCCTAACTGCACTGGGGAGAAATTAACACATTTCTAATCAGATTTCCTGAAACAAATACCTATAACAGATTGTAATAAAAGACACTTCTACTTCATCTCTCTGTTCTTGAATACTTCTTTCAGCCTTATCCTGTATTTAACGCACACAAAAAAAAATGGATTCTTTTACTTTACTCTGGCACATGTCCCAATCTATGCCAAATCAATTAAATATTTTCTATTGCTTAATTCAGTCAGAAAAAGTGGAATCTGTGAAGATAAATACCTTAGAATCCTTCTGAAGTTCTTTTAAACTTAGTCCATTAGGATAGATATGAGCTATATAAAAGGAGCTCAAGAACTGGTATTAATTCAGCAAAAACTGAGTAAAGAAAAAAACACTGCACATATTTAGTACTATTATTCCCCCTACATACATAGTCAACCACATCAATAAATAAAGCAATGAATTTTTCAGTAATGTACACTTAAATAGTTACAAACGTACATGTAGAAAAAGGATACAGTAGTGCAAAAAATAAATTATTAAAACAGAAAGAAGTATGAACATTATTTTACACAATGCTCTATAAAACCTGAACCATTTGAAATAAGACCTCAAGTCAGTGAAAGAATGTAGTGATGTTAGTATCTCTCCTTCACATTTCAACCATACAGTCACTCAGCTTTGAAAGACAAATCACTTTCAACACTCAGAAAAATTGATGCTAAACATCAGCTTTTGGGGGGCTCTTCCACACCTCTGTGGTTTGTGTGGTAGTGCAGTGTGTCAAGAAGCATCTGAAGACAGAAAGTCAAACAGGTCAAATCCTTTCTATTCAATTTCTGTGTGGTCAAAAAGTAGAGTAACATCTCTCTAGGGTACCATCTTCTGATAAGGTGTTATTGCAATTAGATGTATTTGCAAGAACATTGTTCTGGGGCAGTAGGGAGGGTAGAAACTCCTCTTCCGCAATCCGGTCCCATTAATTTTGGTTTCTGGATATAAAGGCCAGGATTCGTCGAATACCATTCAATCTGTCCTTTAAGGACCTCATTGCTAGGAAGGGAAGCTGAGCCCTGCTTTCCAGGGGAAGAACCGCTAATGTCCACCAGCACCAGGCTGGACCATTTGGATTAACCTGCAACAGAGAAACAGAGTTCGTTGATCCTATTCTCTTGCAGTCCATGTACAGCTGTCCATGTGTATAAAGTAACTGTCCCACATGGAACTGCTTCTGTATATGGCAGAGATTGCTGCTAGCCTCCATAACTTTTTCTCCTCCTTTATTTCAGTTGAGCATACAGCCACAATGGTGGCAGAGGTGGAGGACACTGTTATTTCTCAGGCTCCCTTGTAATTGGGTAAGGCCATAAGATTAAAATTATGGCTAGAGAGATATAAAGAAAAAGAGTATGCATAAGTTTTGTGTCACGGTATGGGCAAAGAGCACAAACCCTCTGGCTTCCTTTTTCACTCCATTTGTTTTATTTACTTTAATTTTTTTATTATTTTATGTGTACAGTGTTTTTTCCTGCATGTATGTCTGTGTGCCACAGAGATCAGAAGACAGTGTCAGATTCCCTTGAACTGGTGGTTGTGTGCAGCCATGTGAGTGTTCAGAATTGTACTTGGGTCCCCTGTAAGAACAGCCAATGCTCTTAACCTCTGAGCCATCTTTTCAGTTCCTCCCCCTTTTTCTAGCACAACTGAAGTCATGGTGATGATCAGTCTTCTTCTACCAAGAAAAAGTAACCTAAGGATGGAAGAGCTTTGTGATGGAAGAGCCTGAATGCTTTATTGGAATAGAACTAATTGTCTTAGTCCTCCAGGACGGAGGTCTTCTCTCTCACTTGAGCCACAACCATCTTTAGTACCTGTTAAACGAAGCAAATCAAGATTTTCACACATGCCCTGTGCTCCCTAGGCAGGGTGATTTTACAAGCTGGAGTACACCCATTTTGTCTCTTCCATTTCTAAGGCTCTGGGTAGGTCCTTCAGCCATTTAAAATTCAGGCCTTTAATGCTCTGATTCTCGGGCTGTGGCATGTCTTTTAACTTCCATCATTTTCTTACTTAGGTGGAAGGCTGTCTAAATATGTCATGTCACTAATTGAGCCATAGTGGTCTTTTCTCCTGAAACCAAGAGCTATGCTTTCTAGTCTCAAAGTACAACAACCAAACATTCCAATTAGAAAACACATTTATGGGGGCTGGAGAGATGGCTCAGAGGTTAAGAACACTCTCTGTTCTTCCAAAGGTCCTGAGTTCAATTCCCCGCAAGCACATGGTGGCTCATAACCATCTATAGTAAGATCTGGTGTGCAGGCAGAATGTTGTATAGATAAAAAATAAATCTTTAAAAAGAAAAAAGACATTCATGTTAATCCTGGGGTTTTCCTTTGATAAAGACATTTCCAATCCTTACCAATCCTTGACCAAAATTCTCTTTGTTATCAGCTTCTTGAGCACACATTTTAGACATTTATTACTAAACCTCAAATGAGTTTTCTTCCCACAACGTTCAAAACAAGTCAGTTTTCAGCTTGTAGCGATGCTCATGCTGATCTAACTCCCTCCACACAAGGTTATTCGACTCCAAATGGTTTTTATATGTTTCTCCCTGAATGTCCCTGAACTCTTGGCTTCTCTATGCCACTAGCTTGCTTTATCTGGACACTAGGTTGATGCTAGTGTCAACTTTCCCAGGATCATCAATAAATACTTAAGCTAATGTTAATAATATAGCTATTTCTAAGGAACTTCCTACTAAGGTACAGCACTCTTATTCGTGGAACTGCTTGGATGAGATTTTGCTGCTGCTGTCACCACCACCAAGGCAACATGATAACAAAACTAATAAGAAAGGAACTGATTTGGGCTTGCTATGTCACTAAGGCATTATGAATCACAATGAGGCATCTCATCTGTGTTTTCTCCCATGGAAGATGTGATTAGCATTCAGAGTTTTCTATTGAGATAAAATCAGGAAGCATACATTAAAAAAGAAATTAAAGAAGTTACAGGAGTGTTTCTGTGGGAGAGCCAGATTATAATATGAAGAAAGGTAGCATTAAAAGAATATATCTTCTTAGGCCATTTAATCTCCAAACCGGAATTCCCCACAAACATTGCCTGATTGAACCCAGGCAGGCAAGGCTTGGTGAAATCAAACTCTCCCTGTTTTCCTAGTAGACTCTTGATCTACAACTTGAGTTCTCAGAGATCTGACTCACAAATAAGAAGAGCATTCCAGTAGAAACTAGTAAACTATGTCCCGGGGGCCAGTTTTCTTAGGACCTCCTCAAGCAAGGATCAGTGGTGAGGGCCCAGACTTGCAGGGCATAGATAGGCTGGATACGAATGTTTCTGCAGCTGTTTTCTTATAGGATAGGTGGCCCTACCTCCTAGCTCCCACAGCAGTGGAAAAGGGGACATGAAGCTGGCTGGAAGTAGCAGCCTTTTGCTACTTTTACACTCTGGCCTTCACATGGATCCTGTCACCCCAACATTACCATGGTGTAGCTCTAGACTTCCATTGACGGTTCTGTTGGTGGTACCTGTGTTCCTCTCCTCTCCTCTCACTTATGTCTCTATATTTGTCTCAGTTCTGCATTCTTACTATTTACTTTGTTAAGCCAATTCCAACTTGGGATCCTTTAAGTCTTACCCGTGATGCTCATGACCTACCAACACCATACTGTATTGAATTTGTCCTCTTTTATGCACTTAACTTACTGGATGACAACTACATGTTTATCTAATCACAAATCCTGGACACTCCCACCTGGTTGAGCAACCTGTTATAAATAGATATTCTTCTTTTTTTTTTTAAATAGATATTCTTATATACCTGAGGATCTTCGTCCTTTTCTGGCATTGGACCAAAATGACTTAGTATCCTATTCTTCAGAGATGTTTTGAGCGAATGAAACCATGATGATGCTTGTTCATAGACACAGTTATGTAATCCCATAAGTTCAGCACAATCTTCTCCCTGCACCTGAACATATTTAAATGAAAATGAATCAACCTCTTCCTTTTCCATCCATATCAGAGTTGTTTCGACACTTGACTATCTCTTGAGAATCTGACCTGCCTTTCATTCACCCATCTGGCTTTCTCCTGTGTAAGATATGGAACACCCATCATCCAGATGCTGGGTGGTGTACCAATATAGCAGAGAGAGTAGAAAGACAAAAGGTCTAACTGAGAAAAATGCATAAAACAATAAGTAGAAATAGCAAGAAGCTTGAACTGGCCCAGGTGAGGACATATGAGTAAAGTACATTGTGCTGATTTATGTCATGCCTCTGCACTGCCCCTTTCATTTTTACATCCATTTCTTCCTTACTCACTGGGAAGGTAGATATAAATACATCTGTGCCGCAGTATGTCTTCAAGGTCAAATGAATTTATCCATTAATCATGTATTATATCTATTACATTACCAATATAATTGAACATAAGATTATTGACCTTTTCATCTACCTATTAGCTCAGAAAATAAAGCATTAGTTGGACATGTGACAATTTTTGCTTTCAGGGATGGTGAATAACTCTAATTTAGGAATAGTGCTATTGGGTAGGTTGCACATTTTAAAAATGCAAATTTGTATTAGAATCTATAATAATCTCAAAAGAAATGAGTTGGAAAATATAAATCAATACATAGTTAAAATAACCATCTGTACACCCTATTCTAAATCTAGCCCTCGGTGTCCCTAGGAGAGACCTTACTCAGGCTGAATGGGTCCAGGATTAGTCTGTACAAGCATTAAACACAACTACAATCCACCAGCTAAGCAGGGAGAAGGAGAGGAAAAGGGCAGACTAGGGGTGCAATCAGGCAGCAGTCCAGCAGCATTCATCCAGTAGCAATTGAGAAATCCCAAGTCCCCAAGACAATTCTGAGAAAACACTTTGCAATCATTTTTGTATACCAAGCCACAGTGGCTTTTAGGTTCTTTGGCACTGGTCACGCTCACCTTTTGATCTTCGATGTATTCAATGTCAGCTGTGTTGTAGCCATCCCGCTGGCCCTGATGGAGCACCTTGAAGCGCCTCTTGCCTATGCTGTCAACTACCGATCTTCCATCAGCAAAGAACTGGACATTTCTGATCTCTAAGATGCAGCCATATTCTGCAAATCTGTTTATTGAGAATCAAGAGAGTAGATTGTTGATGAGTTCTATTGTGCTTGGCCTGGACCCCAGCCATTCCTAACACTTTGTGCTATTTGCTAGAGGATATCTGTGTCCACATCTACAACTGCAGCTATACAGCAGGCAGTATCTGTGAAACAAAAAAGATCTGAACATAGTGGTATAACTGCTGTTTGTTGAGCACTTACTATGTACCAGTGCTATGGTTAAATGTTTGTCATCATCAAATCCTGTGTTGAAATTTAATTGCCATTTCAACACTTTTAGGAGACATGACCTTTAAGAAGTGATCAGTCCACGAGGGCTCTGCCCACAAAAGTGGATTAATTGCTGCAAGAGTGCCTTAATTGTTAAGGGACAGGCTGGAGTCACTTTCTCTCACTTTCTCTTTCTACCATGCTAGAACATAACAAGCCCTTATCACATCCTGGACATAATAGCACACAGTTACAGTCTTAGCTACAAAAGAGGCTGTTAAACGGGTGAACCACAAATTTGAGGCTTGCTTGGGCAAGTTAGAGGTACCTGGTCTCAAAATAAAATAAAGCCAGCTTGGAATATAGCTCAGTGGGAGAACACCTGCATAGTATGTGCAAGGCTCTGGATTCAGTCTTCAGTACAAACAATGGATATTATCAGATGCTGGCACATTGGCTGTAGACTTCCCAGTCTCGATAACTGTAGGCATAAATTTCTATTGATTAAAGCTGCATGTGGTAGCTCATACCTGTAATTCTAACAATGGGGAGGCTGAAGTAGTTTTGCCATGACTTTGCAGTCAGCCTTGGCTATACAGTGAGTCCTTGGCCAACTTGGGATACAGTATGAAACCCTGTCTCAAAAAGAAGTTACTGCTTATAAATTACTTATTATACAGATTTATGTTACAACATCCCAAATAAAGTCATTTAGACAGGAACTGTACATAGTGCTTGGTGTGTATCAGTAACTCATCAGTTCTCCTAATAAGCAAGGCCAGTTAGGTAGGCATATCATCATCCCCACTTAGTGGACAAAGAAACTGAAGATAGAATGGCTAAATGATTTGCCCAATGTCAAAGGTGCTCCAAGGCCGGCGCTCAAATGTAAAAGTGGGTAGTTTAACTCTAGGGTTAACACTTGTTAACAAGACTTTTGTTTGTTTGTTTCTGGGTTTTGTTTGTTTTTGAGAAAGGCTCTCATGTATTCCAGACTGCCCTTGAACTTCATACGTAGTCGAGGATGACATTACCCTCTGTAGCCTCTTGCCTCCACCTTCTCTCTGTTGAGATTGTAAGTGTGCAATACCAGTCCTGGTTTATGTAGTGCTGAGGATCTATCCCAACACTTTGTGACTGGTAGGCAGGCTGAGCTACAGCTCTTGCCTACAAGACAAGTTTTATAAAATATGCCGCCTGCTGAATGAAAGACTACCTCTAGGCTTATTTTAAATAGGGAGCCTCTCGTACTATACAGTAGGCACTAGAGGGACCGTGACAATCACAGGTGCTCTGGTATCTTGAGCTGGCTAACTGCATCGACTTATTGACCCCACCTCCAGGAGCCCTCCAAAGTAAAACCAAAATCTGTCTCTGCCCACCATCCGTTTCCTAAGTCTCTTTACTTACCCTTTGACAGGATCTCCAAGACACATTCCAAACTGTTTCGTGCCTGTCTCAATACATCTCCGAATCATCAGACGGTAACAAGGCTCAAAGATGTGCAAGGGACAAGGAACAGTGGGATAGGCCATGGTACACACAAAAATAGGCACATTCTTGTTTAAGCTGTCAGGAAGACAAGATGAGATGGATCTCAAACCAAGGAGAGAGAACACAGAAAGGTTGATCAAATGTCACGATATTGTTCCCTTGGAGTAAGACATGGAATCATCAAAGTGTAATCGTTCATAGAAAAACACTGAAAAGCACTGGGCTGTAGGCCTGGTTCCATGATTCAGTGCAGAGACTAGCTCAAGGCTGAAAGCCTAAACTGGCATTCCACACAGTCTAAGTTTGTTCATTCTCTAATCAACACAATACTGTGGGTGACAGGTATGTTGCTTCTTCCTTTTTTCCTCCCTCTTTCCTCCCCTCCCTACCTTTCCCTGCCCAAATGGACTGATTCAGGCATTTTGCTTGAAGCATGAAGAAGGGTACTGATGGTATAGATGCACCCAGATTTCCAGATGGACAGTAGAAAACTTCCTAAAAAGTCCTTACATGCATCTCAAATTTGTAAAGCCTCTCAAAGACCACTCACAGTAAACCCAGCCAGGAGTAGCCAGCAACAGACTGCCAACAGTAATGTATCCCAGTTATGCTCAAATGCTCTTGGACATCAGAATAATGGGGGCTCCTTAAAATAGATGACTGGGCCAATACACCTCCAGAGATACTGATGTATTTACTCTGAAATTGGGACACAGGAGTCTGCTTTTCAATAAATACCCTTGAAAATTTAGGCACATGGCCCACTGGGGAATCCCCAACTGGGCCAGCTCTTCATAGATCCTGGTTTTCTGCATCATCTAGTAAATCTTTTTTTTTTCTTTTTAAATTTAATTTTATTTATGTATTTATTTATTACAATTTGTTCACTTTCTATCCCCACTGCAGCTCCCTTCCTCATCTCCTCCCAGTTCCACCCTCCCTCCCTCTTCTCTACCTATGCCCTTTCCCTAGTCCTCTGATAGGGGAGGTCCTACTCCCCTTCTATCTGACCCTAGCCTATCAGGTCTCATCAGGACTGTCTTTCATAGTCTTCCTCTGTGGCCTGGTAAAACTGTTCCCCACTCAGGGGGAGCTGATCACAGAGCCTGCCACTGAGTTCATGTCAGAGACAGCCCCTGTACCCCTTACTAGGACACCCACTTGGAGACTGAGCTGCCATGGCTTCTTTTGAAATGCAGGGACACTGCATCTAAATGAGCTGAGAAATGTAAAGCCATCTGCCTACATTCTAAAAGGAGCTAGGTCTGAGATCCCTTTAAACAGAAAGCCCTGCAGTGTGTTCTAGTATCCATTAGTACAACCTTAAGAGATATCTGAGAAAAGGACTGAGAGAGTTTAAAGGCTAAGTGAAAAACAGGAAAAGCTCAGAATGCACCAAGTAGTTTCAATATAAAAGTAATGAGAAACAAAGATTTCTAGTCCCCAAGAAAAGTATTATTTGAAATGAGAGACATATCCATACCAACAGGATGCATAGCTCCAAAACAGTCTCTTCCCTGAGAGCATATAAGAAGAGATTTTCCCCTCAGGAAGCAGTTCACCTTCAGGAATGCTGAGAACTCTTCCAGTGTATAGGGAGGAGGGCAACAGGCAGTATTTAGCTATTATTTCCTGCTAAGTGCACAACAGGCAGAGACCCTGAAGAACAATTATGTCTTCATCCTGAACCTTTGCCTCTCACACTATGTGTGGAAAAGGAAACACACACAGTATGTACAGGCTCTATTGTCACTTCTTCAGTGCTTGTCTTGCACAAACTCATTTGGGTCTTCCTAACAAGCCCATAATGTGAGAGTGATCATCTTCAAGCTACTGGCAAGGAAACTGAGTCCCAGAAAGGTTAAATGGCAGCATTCTAGGACCACAAAGCATACTCAGTGCTGGAGCTGAATCTTAACCGCAGGTGTGGCTCACACCACTGTTTTAGCACCCACTAACCTGCCTAAGGACTTGAAGACATCTTCTGGTTGTTCCATGAGGTCTCCTAATGAAGGTACTCCTTAATGCACTCCTGCCCATCCCATGCTCTTACTAGTGCTGAGATGCATAGGATGACTCTGTGGTTTGGCTGATGTGCTTCTTCCGAAGCACACTGGTAAAGGTTTAACAACTGTTTCTGAGAGGGATGGGAAGGGGCAGTTTGTAGCACTCATTTACTTGCACAGTGTAAATATTCTCACCATGGTTATTTCAAGCTATTAACATGCTAGCATTGAATAAGGAGCTGGTAAGAAATGTGTCAGTTTTGTGAGCTGGTGTGCATGAAATGGTAAATAGAAACACACAGGTACATACTTAGAAAGTTCTTCCATTTCCTCTTCATAAAGCCTCCTTCGCTCCTTGAGTTCTTCTGGCAGGAATTTAGCTATTAGTTCTTCCATTATTACATTTTTGCTATATTTTCTTGATGGCAAACACTAGAAGAGGAACAAGGTAATGAACTATTATATGGTTCACATAAAAACACATAGAACTTCTGATGCACCTCAGATAGTAGTCAAATCACTCATGTGTTGGAATTTCGAACCACAGTATGCAAGCTGATACAGCCACAATATGTTTGGGGAGGGGTTGGAGTTTTGATTTTCTTAAAAACCATGCAACTGAATATTTAAAATTAGAAAAAATATTTTAACAAAGAAAATAATTGCATTAACCTTTTGAAAATCTCACAGATGACCTGAAGCTTCAGATTTGAGATAATGTCAGGTTTGAACTAAAGAGGGTTGGATCATATTTCCTCTTCATTTTCTCTATTGTTGTGTTTACAAGCTCTATCTGAGAAGTGCTCTGGTCGAAAAGTCGGGGAACCAAAAGGTTATGTTCATGTATCCTTTCCTGCCCTGACCCACCTCCACCCTAATCGAGTGCCTGGTTCCTAAATATTACCAAGTCTATGGCTTAACATTAGTTAAAATAAAGACCACACATATGGTAACAGCCAAATACAAATGATTGTGCTGTTACCTGTTTAGAATACCACCTAGGTATCACTGAAACTCAAAATCAGTCTCAGGCTAAAATGTCAGTAGTTTGTCCTTCCCAGACAACCCAACCATATGTATATCCAGAGACCTATAAGTAGTGTGTACTTAATAATATGGACCAAACAATGAATGTTAAAATCTCAGCTGGTGAAACAATGAAAGCTAGAGGAAACCTCCTACTAAGCCACTTTCCTAAAGCAGTATGATATACGTCTAACTGTATTTTAAATACTTATCCTTACCCACAGATAAGTGTTGTTCTTCCCCTTACCAAAGAAGCTTCTCTTTGCTTCAGACAGAGACCAGTATAGAAAGCCACAGTTGGTCAAAATGCAGAGAAAAATTCACCGTGTGGCACTCATCCCCAATTGATACAACTACTCTACAACCCCTAAATGTAAGGCTCAGGACATTTCAGAAGAGGGGGCAAAAAGATTGTTAGAGCCAGTGGACAAGGATGCGTGCTTTGAGATAGGTTCCTTCTCTGTATGACAGGAAAGCTGTACCCATGAAATCTTAGCAATACGCTCCCCTAAACAAGACATAAACAAACAACACTCGAAAACGTGTCAATGTGCATGGAGAAAATCTCACAAGGCCCTACCCCTAGATGAAGAGGTATAGGCAACTAATGACTGCTGAGAGAGAATCAGTCTTTCTCGAGGAGAAGCCCCCTAATTGGTTGCCAAATATCAAGTGGTCAGCCCTAAGAACGTTTGCATATGAGCAACACCAAATGAACTCAGGAAGTTGAATTTATATATTTCTATACACACATATATAACACATTAGTTAAAGAATATGAGGTCCCAAAATTGGGAGGGAGTGGGGGAAACACAGTCAGACTTGGATAAAGAGTGGGAGGGCATAAGGAAGTAAATACAGTACTCATATGAAATTCTCAAATAATAATAAATTAACAATGAATTTTCTACAGAAAATTGATTGCTGTTGAACCCAGCAGAGGGAGCTCCTGAGTTCTGAATTGATGGTTTTAGTCAATTTTCTTTCTTCCCCAGGAGTCTCTATTTTGCAACAGACATGATTGGAATATTTATCGCTTTGTTAAATGGTGTAAGTATGGCCCTGTATGAATACAGAGATAGAAGAGAATATCTTCTAGTTTCTAAGTGTGAGACTCCACAGCATCTGCCTGCTGGATGCTTTATCAGATATTGCCACTGCTTGGCAACAGGAACACACACACACACACACACACACACACACACACACACACACACACATTGTCTGGTTCCAGGCTTTCGGGAAAAACAGTTACTCAAGAGGTAGCCTATTTATGGTGGAAAATGATCCCTCTGAAGATGTTAAAACAAGACTCCAGGAATCAGACACCCTAAAAAGGCAACTGCTTTTTTCTAAAGTCTAAAGGTTGAGCATATGATAGACATTTTTTTCTTTCTGTTGATCTGAACTTTGTTATGTTAACAGAACATAGATGTCTTCTTTAAATAGAACCATGGAATTCTTGTTTACAACCAGGTTGCAGTCCCACCTCTTTAGTCTAAGGAAAGCAATGGCTTCAGCACTTTCCCAATCCCAATACACATCCTCAAAGGTACCCTGAGTGCTGGGTTCACTCTGTCTCTTCATTGTCAATGTAAGAGTTCTGAAAGTCTTCTCAGGACTCATAGGAACCTCTAGATAGTCTCTTTTATTCCCGAGGCAAGGTCTTACTATGTGTTTGAGGTAGACATTGAACTTGCAATGATCCTATCTTAGCTTCCAAAATCCTGGAACTACAAACATGCATTGACATTCTCTAGCACTAAGCAGGCACCTGAAACCTCTCTTCAAGAACTACAAGGGCAAAGCAATATTAATACTGGTTGTAAGATGAGATCTATAAGTCTCTGATGAAAGGAAACCAAAATAAATTCCTTCCTTTCTCCACAACTCCATAGGGCCCACTTGAAGATGTAAGCTTGTGTGGTTAATTTTAAAGAATCTGAAGTCCTCAGAGCTTTACAAGCAGCCAAGTATCTGCTACTAAAAAAAGTAGCTCCTGAGCAGTTGTATAAAGACTGCCATGAAGATCTGAGAGGGTTCTTTGAGGGGATGTTGGAAAGGGACTTTAGCAGCTGAACCTCTCTGAGGCACAAATAAACATAATTGTATGCATAAGTCAGAGCTATCTAGTTCAAGGATAATGGAAACAAAAATTCATTCAAGATTATTGTTTATGAGGTACCACAATGGGATCAGAACCAAGACTTGTGTTTATCATCTATTTCATGTTTTTGCTTCTAGCACAAATGAACTTCATTACTGACAGTTATTAAAAAGCTAGATGCTGCCTTATTTTCCCAAAGGACTTTGTGGAGAGAGGAAGGATGTCTAGAAGACAGCAGAAATAAACAGACAGTGGGGGAGCATATTTTGGTCAAGCACAGTTGAGCACTGTGTTAATATAAAATAAATTAATACAACAAAAGAAGAAAGAGTGGTTTACCTGGAAAAGAACGTCTTTGCACAGTGGACACTTTGCATTGTGATCTAGGCATCTCTCAAGACATTTCAAGCAAAAAGTGTGCCCACAAGGTGTTGTGACTGGCTCATAGAATAATCTGAAATTTAGGAAATGAAATAGGAGAAAACTGTTATAAGATAAAAAATAAAAGATAGGGGAATTTACTGTTAGAGTTTCATAGTACTGTTTGTCAAAACCTGTGGGAGGGGTACTCTCTTTGAGTTTCATTACTACTGCTATTCTACCTCAGAAAAAAAATTCTTTTCATTCTTGATTTATAAATAGAAATAGGCATTCGTTTTAGAGCATAACTAAATCATTTTGTAATATTAGTTCTAGCCTTTGCCCTTTTGGTCCAAGAAATTTCAGAATAGTGCTCCAAGTGTCTGAATAGATTCCCTGATTTAAAAAATACAACCAATATGTTTACCTGAGTATATTTTAATCACACAGACACACGTGGAGATACATGAATACACATACTTAGACTTTTTACATCATCTTACTATGGGGAAACACTCAATTTATTTGCTCATCTTGAATCTTTTCTTCACTTAAGTGACACTTAATGCCTGAAGGCTCTTGTAACTGTAACAAACATGTCCCTGCCTTTTGTGTGGATGGATATTTTCCCCAGTAGTAATAAGTAATATTGTTATTTTACCCATTGCTATCAATAGGTACATAAAATACGTGCATACATCTATCTACATATAAGAATATATTCAGATGTGTCATAATTCCATTACATCTTATTTTAGTTGCTTTGGGAAAGAAAGATGTTTTTAAAGCAATCTGGGGACTTTTTAATGAAAGATGTTATGCCCATTCAGAGATGCATAGATTTACTTTGTGTAAAGAGAGGCTCACTTAGAGCAGAACCAGAAGTTAGGGGTCAGCTGATGATGACTATCAAGAGGTAGGGCTCACATTTAACAAGATGATGAGCACAGAAAGAAGGGAGACAAATATTTATCAGCTTATTTTGTCTTCCCAAGAGTGTTCAATTGAGAAAAAAAGGCTGTCAGCCTCATATTATGTGATATCATACGTATTTAATTTAAAAGGATGTCAATGGAAGAGGTCAATGATTTGAGGAAGAGGGCTGACACAAGAGGAGTGGCAGAGGAAAAGGAGAGGTACAATTATGTAAACACAGTACTCATATAAAATTCTCAAAATAACATTTTTTAAAAGACTATAAACATCTGGTGAATCTCAATACATCCCAATGAATTATTTTATTTGTTGATTTGTTTGAGGGAAAACTTGGCAAGTTGATTTCTAAATGCAATAAAGAAATGCAAGAAAGCTGAATACCAAGACACATCTGAAGAACAAGGATATGGGAACACTTGCTCCACCAAGCATCAGAACTTATTATAAAGCCACTGTGATTAAAACAAGGTGTGCCAGCACAAGGTCAAATAAATCCATGGAACAGAACAGAAAGCTCAGGAATAGACCCAGACATGGATTCTTGACTTATGACAAATGTAACATTTTAAAACAGGGCCATTGGGCTATTTTTAATGCACAAATAGCATCTCATAGTGTGAGAAAATAAAAGCAGACCATTTACACCTAAAAATCGATTCCAGGTATTCTGAAAAATAAATTTAAAAGGAAAAACAATACAGCTTTCAGAACATAAAATAGGAGAACATCTTTATGACACAGATTAAAAAAATAAAGAAAACACAAACACTATAAATGAAAAGACCGCTAATTTCGATTGTGCTAAGATTAAGAACTTTTAAGTTTATCTAAAAGCATCACTGAAAGGGCAGATGGGCAAACTACCTAGTAGGAGCAAGTGTTTGCAATATGCAGGTAAGAAAAGGTTTGTATCTAAAACAAACTTAGAGCTTGAAAAAATAGCTAAAGCAGTAAGAGAAAAAAAAAAAACCTAGTAGAAAAATAGGCAAACACTGGCACATGGAAAAACAGTGCCCATCCATAGTACTTTCAAACTATAGCCAACCCAAGCAACCATCTAGAATAAAGAGACTGGCACATTTATATAATGGGATGCTATGGGCTAAAGAAAATGAACAAACTTCAGTTATATGTTAACACTGAGTTTAAAAAAGAACAAGATTGATGAAATATACTAAAATTTAATATGCTTAAGTTTTAGGATTTAGGTCAAACTAGATGATACCATGTATAGCTGCATATATACATGGTAAAATTATGAGGAACAAAATAAAACTCAAGATAGTAGTTTGGGGATTGTATTAGTTAATTATATGTAGAAGAGAGAGTTTATTTGAGGTTTATGGTTCCAAAGGGTTAGGGTCCTGCTAGGAAATTAGGTCACAGACAAAGTGGTTGGAGCTGGAAGCTGAGAGCTCAACCCTCAAACCTCAAGCAGGCAACAGAGAAAGTGATCTGGGGATGGCAGGAGGCTTTGAAACTTCAAAATCTGCCTTCAGAAATGCACTTCCTCCACCAAGGCCATACCTGTTAAACCTCCCCAAATAGTGCCATAAACTGTGGACTCAGTATTCAAATGCCTGTGACTATGGGGGTCATTTAAATAATCACAGGAGTAATGGTTAAGTATGGTCTTGTTTGAGAAAAGGCATATGGATAATTTTTGGGACTTGCTGATGTCTAACTTCTTAAACCTAGCTGTTACATGAGTCTTTACAATATTTTTTTTCAGAACATACATATTTTACAATATAAAAATGGGTTTCTAAAGTATGATTTGAGGGCTGATTCAGGAACCATTGAGGTGATCAAACTATCATAAATGCTAAACCAGAACAACTATCTCTTCAGGATTTGAATTCTGCTAATTATGACTATTTTATAGTGTGTGTGTGTGTGTGTGTGTGTGTGTGTGTGTGTGTGTGGTGGTGGTGGTGGTGGTGGTGGTGGTGGTGGTGGTGTGTAAATCAAACCCAAGGCCTTATACATGTGAATAAACTATTCCATCACTGAACCACATCCTCAAATCTTTGTTTTTAAAGACAAAGTAGCCCAGGTTAGCCTCATACCCCTGACAATCCTCTTGCCTCAGTTTCTGAAATCCTGGAATTAGAAGTATGTGCCACTTCCCCTAGATTCTTTGCCCTTTGTGATTTTTCTGGGGCAGGTTCTTACTTTGTAGCTCAGGAACTCCAAATTCATCTGCTTCAAACTTTGGAGTATTAGTATTACAGACATATACTATCATACTCATTATATCTGATTACTTTTACATACTATTTGATTATACATATGAGTATAATTGATGAGTCTGTACCTATTATAACAACAAAACTATTTTTCCTGAGAACTTCATAATTGAGCCTACTGTTCTTTTATGAATGTAAATATATTTATTTTGCTATATTTCTGGCTGTGTGCAATACTATTTTTTTCATTAAAAGTAATTTTATATACTAATAAGTGGTAATTGTGATGAACCCTATTTTACTGCTGATGAAATAAAAAGTCAAACAGATGAAATAACATGCCCAAGATTATACCACTAGCTGGTAGGCAGAAAGATTGAAATGTATCATCAAATCTGACTTCCCAGCTAATCTTCCTCCTTCAGTCTACAATACAGCCAGGACCATATGTACCCATATATTAAAATGCATTCCAGTCAGTCAGCCAGTCAGCCAGCGATTCATCTGTAGATGTACATATTTCCACATATGCTTTTCTCCTTTCCTTTCTGTCACTCTCCCTTCTTCCTCCTCTCCAGAAAGATAGAGATGAAGATTCTTACCTATGACCATAGAGGTATATACTAGAATGTCTGTCCTTTTCCCATTTAAAGATTTTGAAAACACTTCAGGGAGACCTTTTTAATTCAGAACAGGGCCAGCTTGTCTCTCAAGAAAGCATTTCACATTAACAGAGTGATGGGGTAAACAAGAGTAAGAATAAATGCCTTCTGTTAGATGTCAGTCTAGATAAAATGTCTGGCTTCTCTGGAAAGAGCTATCTTTTCCAACAAGTGACATCCTTGCATTGTGCTCTTTTGTTATCAGATTATAGCAAAGACAGAAAAAAAGGGGAGGGAAAGACAGACAGAAAGAAAAGCAAACTGCCTTAATACCCAGGGACTCAGGAAACTATAACTAGAATATATATAAAGCTGATCCTTTCTTTCACTTGTCACCAATGTCACTGGGCCATTGGATAACTAGTTCAGATTGCAAATATTCTCACTTCATATCTCAAAAGATCATCACTATCCCAAAGGTATTGCTTTATAGAAGCCCAGAGATGAGCCTCACTGGCTAGGGTGATGTATAAAAGGTAAATAGAAACTAGGTTTTTTTTTTTTTTCCTTTGGCCTCTAAGCATTGCAGGGCAGGGTTCTGGGGTGTTGGGGTTAGGGGAAGATTGCCTTCAATGAAATTCTTCCAATTCAGGAATATGGACTTGGAGACTGAAAAAAAAAGATTTTATTGATATACTCTCCAATTACTCTTCCATTAAAATAAATAGGGCCTCATGTATCCCAGAATGGACTTGAACTCACTGTGTAGTCAAGGATGACTTGACTCCTAATATTCCTACATCTACATCCCAAGTTCTGGGATTGCAGTGTGAGAGCCACTACACCTTGCTTCCATTCACACTCCCTACCCTTTCCTTGTGACACTTACAACCCCAATCAATTTTCTGTCTGGAACCAAACTATATAATAAATTCATGTTCTGTCTAACTTCTTTCTGCCAGGGCTTAGATTTCAGTCTAGACCTTGTACAGGTGCTACAATTTCATAGCCAAGCATTTTGACATTATCTGTAGTCTCAGACTCTACGGTGATCAATATCAATCGTCACCTTGACACTTAAGAAACAAAGCTCCAAGACACTTGGGAGAGATGATCTGAATTAGATAAACCTTTGAGTTTGAGGTGGAAAAGACACACCTTAACTGTGGGCTGCACAATGCTACAGGCTGGAACGGGGCCTCAGAAGGTGAGCTGAGCACCAGCAGTCAGCACTTTGCTTCCTGCATATTGTGGAACCGATTCAAGCCTAAGGAGCCCTGATCATACAGCTGCTATGTCTTGCTCACTAGGAGACAATGATCCCAGCCAGTGATAAGCCAGAACAAACACTTCCTCCCTTAAATTGCTTCAGGTCAAATATTTAGTCACAACAACAAAAAGAGTAACCAAATGCAAAACCTCTCTTCCAAAGACACATGAGGACCAAAACAAAACCTAAGCACAACCACAGCTAAAACACAAATGGTTAGGAGTGGGAAAAGAAACTTTCAAGACCAGAAAAATAGAGTCAAATGAATTCAGTCAGTCAATAACTAATGTGGCACTTACAGACAAACTCTGTTGGAAGGGAAGCTATATGTTTCTTACATGGTCTTAAGAGGTTAAGACCAAAAAACCCTCTCAGCTGGGCAGGTTTTTTATACCACAAGGCAGTGAAAGTCTACCTATAACTTAGAAGCTGCTGTAACAGCTACTCAGGGCAAAGATGGAACAAGGGTTCAGGAAGAGGGACACAATGGCTTTTAAGCTCAGAGGGTGCAAACCAGAGGGGTGCTTATCCTCTATGTGTTTACTTCTTGGACCAAATTCCTAACTCTTCTACAATGTCCCTTGTGATTAGGGACAAAAAAAGATGAAAGCAGAAAAGAAAAGGAAGAGGAACAAAGAAATTTCAACCTTAGGATTCCACAGAGAAAATACAAACAGGATGAGTCTGTATGTTTGATTTTGTGTCGCCTGGATTTTGGCAGGAGGGTTAAGGAGGGTTAAGCAGAACAAAGACCTGCTCTTTCTGAGTAAGCTAAATTAAATCTACTTCACAACACCTATCGTGGGCTTTAGAACCACAACACTGGTGTAGGGGCTGCAGGGCCCATTTTATACTATCTTATACCTTGGCTCTGGCATGATGCACTTGCCACTCTGTAGTGAGGGGGTGGATGAAATGGTAAAAGGATCTGCTTCTGCCATTCATCTCATTCTTGTCTACACCACCTAAACGGACCCCTGACAGTATGTGCAAAGGTTAATGTGCCTGTTTCTATGCTGCATCTGCTGAGCTGTCTGAGGCCCATTTATTCTTATGAACAAATCTTGCTACTATGGATATTTTGTGTATTATTATTTTACTATTATTCCTGTTATTATTATTATTATTATTGTGATGCTGGTTAGTGAATTCAGAACCTCATGAATGGTAGCCAAGTGCTCTGCCACTAAACTACTCCTGCAGACTGAAGTATATATTTTTTTTTCTAAGAAAAGTCCACATTTCAGGTAATAGTTGACTTATTATTATTTACATGACAAAAAAGTCAGTCAGAATACAAACATACATGATAGGAGAGGAATAAATACCTTCAAGGGGCAGGTAAACATTTGTTCAAATATCTCAGTTCCTTCTTAGTTTCTTTAGAGAAAATCACATTTAAGAATCTAATGAAAGCTTTATGCTTTTATCTTAGAAACACACCCACCTACACACACACACACACACACACACACACACACACACACACACACACTTTTACATGTTATTTATGTGAATTCATAAATCTATTTGGATTCATGTATAGAGCTTCCTTTGAGGTCCCTGGCTCTAACACTAAAGACCTCTGAGTAGGAAAAACAAATATTTAAATTTTTTGAGTACTTACTGTTTCCTGGGCGCTCCTCTAAGCATTAAATAGTTTTTCTTAGTTAATCATCACAACAGTTTGAGTAGATCCCACTGTCCTCTACCTTACTAAAGAAAAAATAATGGTGGCAAATGTCACATGCTCTAGGACAGAGTCTGTAGGTTGAACGAGCTAGGGTTCAAGCCCTGGCTACAGAGTCCCTTCTCTTAGTTACTAAATCACAGCTATGAAATGAAATAACCTTTTACATTTCAAGGTGGTCATTTAGACCACAATCACAGAATCTTTCTGTTTGTTTGTTTTTTCAAGTGGGGTATATGGATAAACCGCTCTTCAGAGGCCTGAGAAAGTAGAGATAACATTCTAGCTGGAAGGATGGTACTTGACCAAGCATCTGTTACATGTACTGTTCACTAGATAGCATAAACACAAACCATTTTAGGCTTCTAGTTGGCTTCCAAAGAAAATGCTTTTTGCATTGATATTAACCCTTGAGTCTTGAGTTAACTTAGTAGCTTAGATTCAGGGTCACAAGTTAGATTCAAATAATATTAAGGCTCAAAGAATAATGTAGGACAGGCCATTATAAGTCAATGGGATCCTGACCAGCTACAAAGTGTATGTCTTGCTATAGTAGAGTCTTATACCAGAAAATCAAATCTAATGAGGACCAAATGGTAAGCATGTTCAACTCATGGCCCATCAGTTTTTGAACTTTGAGTTGCCTTGCCACTCTCCACGAGCTTCTACATTGAGATTTAAGGATGTAAAGAACACAGTTTGCATGCAGGCGTGGTGGCTCACGCCTGTAATTCCAGCACTCAGAAAGGCAGAGGTAGAAGGATCTTTGTGAGTTTGAGGCCAGTCTGGTCCACAAAGCTATGGAGAAAAACCCTGTCTGAAAACAAAACAAAACAAAACAAAACAAACAAAAAAGAACACAGTTGCTGTAAGGTGAGCCACCAGCTGTATCATATGACAATATGATTTTCATTTCATCTGTGCCATGATTTTACATCCTAACTAACTCAGTAGTAAAGTCAGTAGCAGAAAGGTCCAGGTACGAAAAAGTGGGAAATACCAGGCTGTAAGTGATGGCCCACATCACATACCTCATACACAGTGAGCATTCAAGGTCAGATGCATCAAAAGATGCAAGTGGAATACTGAGATCTGGTTTGGCCACCTGATCAGCAGGAAGATCTGTGATTTAGAAAACAATAAGTCAGAGCTGGATCAACTTGGTTTTGCAGACAGTACATCTGAGGAAAAAAAATATTTTTCTGCTTTTCAATTTCAAACTCCCCCTGAGTTTAATTGAGTGGCTGCCCGAGCCCCAACATTCCCTGAAGTGTGCTCCCAGTGGCATTTTAGTAGCCCCTATAGACAAAGAAGCCCAAATCTAGGAGCTCCTGGGGACTTTGTTCAAGTTCAGTAGGCACCTCACTCAGCAGCAGCAGCAGTAGCAACTCCAGGGACTGAGCCAGGTCTTCAAGACTGAATCTTGGCACTGCCAACCTCTCTTGGAAAGATAGGAAGTTGTAGCTGCTGTTTCTCAGGGCACAACTAAATGAGCCCTGAGCACATCTCTCCCATCCTACATTCCCAGATCAGGAATGAGGGCAGGAAGTGATTAGCCTGGAAGAAAGTGAGGTCATGGAAAGCATGGGATGTCATCACTTGATAGGGTACTTGACCTGGTCAGATCCATGTCTTGACTATGGATGTTACTTATCACACAGCACTTTCAGTATGATAAGTACCATGTGTACTGCCACAGAAACCTCACAGCAACCCCTGGGATTTCACAGCTATACCAGAATTAGGCCATACACTCAGAGCTAGAGGAGAAAGAGGGGAACTACATACATCAGAGAGCCCAGTCATCTGCATTACACTACTTTCTTCCTGAGTAGAATTAGCACCTTGTTTGAAGACTTTATTAGGCAATTCCATGTCTTCTTGGATTTCAATTTGGCAATGGTTTCTTTTCTTTTTCTGGCATTTGCCGGTCCTGATGGGGGCAGCATCCTGCTCCTTTTCTTCCTGCTCTTTCTCACCGTCTTCTTGACTACCCACCTTTACTTGAATTGAGTTCACTGGGCTGCTGCTGTCTTCCCTAGCTGCTGCTTCCTCCTGACTAGAACAATGTGGAAGCTCCAGATTTTCCTAGATGAAGGAAAAGCAAGAGGTCAGATACTGCTTGGGATCAATCCTATCCTCCAATAGTCTTACCCTGAGGGGACAAAGAGAATGCAACATAACACTTAGTCTCACTCCTGAACACTGAGTGGCTACATAACTCAACTGAGGGACAGTCATGAGGCTTATTGCCCACATCTAATTTATGTCAAAGACATGCCTAGCTTTAGTAGAGTTAGGCGACTTCCCTAAGCAAAGACAAGAGGTACATAGGAAGAAAAGTTCCCTGGGGCAGAAGTGAAGGGGGAAATACAAGGGAAGCACTGCTCTTCCCTCTTATCCAAATCAGGTTCCAGTGGTCTGTAAGGAAGTCAAAGCATTCTTCAAGGGTCCTGATAGTGGATACTGCTCTTCACCCTCACTGACATTAACAGCCATTTGTCCAAGGACTTTAAGTAAGGCTTTGGGCCAGCTTTGTACAGGCCTGCCAGAGCAAGCCATGCTCCAGAGCTATATGCTATTTTCATAAAGGAACAGAGGACAATCTATTCTTTTTATTCAATTTTGAGTGAAAAGTCTGAAAAGGAGACAAAAATAATTTGGCATAATAGTCTGTGTCTAGTGTTTTACATAATTTTGTCCAGGAGAAGGATATTTGAAAATGTAACTAGAAATAATTCTGAAAATGTGTTCATACATATTGCTCTGGAGAACCTCTCCATAACCTAAATCCACATTTGTTAACAAAAGGTTCCCCTTCATTGTTTCCCCTGCCAAAAATTCTAATGGACAGAGGTGAGAGAAAACAATGAAGAGCAGAGAAAAGGATATGGATTTTCTCAGTCTCTATCCCTGAATGTTCAGGGATTTTAAGTACTAAAGAAAACATTACTACAGCCTTGACTTTCCAGGAGCCCAGAGCACTGTCCACACAAGAATGCAAGGCTTTGCAAAGCAAAGTTTGGGTGGAAATGCACTCACTGTTGCCCAGCTTGCTCACAGTGGAAAGGCAGAAGCTTTGTTTCCTTCATTTCAGACTGAGTTGCAAGTGGAATTTCCCACTCCCGGCCCTTGGGCCTCCTGTTAGCTGTCTTAGTCATGTACTAATGACCACTGGGGGGCTCTCTGATTTCAGGAGATAACTACAAGTTTTGCCTTCACAAAAAAAAAAAAAAAAAAAAAAAAAAAAAATCAGGCATTTTATTCCTTCTCTAGAGGAGGGACAGAAACTGGGAAGATGTGAGCTTCCAGGGCTTATATACAAGAGAGGAACTTCAGGCACAAATGAAGAAGCAACTGCTCCCCAAAGGTGCCCAGGTATTCAGTGTTAAACCTTGCTTCAAGTCTGGTCTTCTGAGCCCTTACCTCTGCCCACGTACCCTGTGCTAAAATGGACAGCACCTGAAGCCCTGCTTTCTGTGTTTTGTTCCCTTGTTTTCAAAGAAAACCACAAATTCTTGTCTTCCTTCTTAAATCAACTCCTGTGCCTCTACTTTCGCTAAAGATGTCCATGAGAAGCCTACTTATGTGTAAGGTACAGTGCAAGAACAAGAAATTCCCTCCATTTAGTCCCTAAATGGAGTTACCATTGCACAAGGATCTCAATGATGCTCAAAGGCCATCAGCTTGAATCTGTCTCCAAAGCTGAAGTCAATAAGCACACCCCAATTATAGGCTTCAGGGGAAGTGGGCCACTCTCGTTATACTTTTATCAAGTCTATCTTCTGGATCTGACCAACACTACAAACAAATGTAATAAATACTTAAACTTTTGTACTATGCCTGAAATTCCCAGCTGTAGCTTTAAGCAAAGGACACAGCCATTATCAACTTTATCTTTCTTTTTTCCCTCAGGAACCAAAGTAGAAGAGGTAGGGCTCACTTCTCGTGTGCCCACAAAAGAGCCAAATGAAGAATCATGAGCAAGCTGGGTGAGTTGAATTTTACCTGTGACAACTTTGGTAGATTATGGCTGGTGCCTTCAGTAGCCATTGACTCTACGTGTTCCTTTAATCTAGGGTGAGGTGCCAACAGCTTCAGGATATCGGGAGAATGTTCCTGAGAATCCCCTGGGACTGATGGTGAAAAGAAACTAAAGAGAAGCTGTGACATAAAACAGAAGACTTCACTACTCAGGTTTCTACAGGTGCTAGGCTAAGGTGAAGGTGAAGGGGGAGGGATGGGGAAGCAGAGAGCACAGCTTTCAAGGCAAAACTCCAATGAGGAAGCCTTGGAGCAGTGTCCCTAGATACACTAAGGAGAGGTTGTTGCATCAACACACATCAGAATCATCTAGGATCAGGGGAATAAAAAGAGTTCTTAGCCATTAACAGCACATACTGTTCTTGCAAAAGATCTGAGTCTGATTTCCGGCACACACATAGGGTGGCTCAGAACCACCTGCAACTTCAGCTCCAGGGATGTCTGACACCTCTGACATCCAGAGGCAACAGTACTCACATGCATATACTCATACAGAGACTCAAACATATAAACATACTGAAATACAGCTTTAAGAAAAAAAGAGTCACCTAGGAGCTTATGAATATGTCAGGTTCCTCGATCCCACTCCAATCACCCCAGGTCTGAAGTATGATCCAGGCATCTGGGTTTTGAAAAGGTATGACAGATGCCTTTTTAACTTAGCCAAGGTTAAGAGCCACTTTTATGGTGGCACCATTCCGCATAAATATCTGCAATGGTGCTTTAAAAATCTATCTGACTAAAACATAGAGGTGAAATCAGAACAGATGCCTCATGTGCTGCTGAGTTTTTTTGTTTGTTTGTTTGTTTGCTTTTTGTCAGGTTGATACAAACTAGGTCATCCTGGGAAGAGGGTGTTTAAATTGAGAAAATGCCTGTATCAGGTTATCCTGTAGGCAAGTTTGTGTAAGTATTTTCTTGATTAATGATTAGGTAGGAGGGACCATCACATTGTGGGTGGTACAACCCCTGGGCAGGTGGTCCCCATGTGTATAAGAAATATAACTGAATGTGTGACCCTGAGATGCAAGCCAGTAAGTGAATTCCTCTGCTTAAGTTCCTGCTTCCAGGTTCCTGCCTTGAGTTCCTGCCTCCAAATTCCTGCCTTGAGTTCCTGCCTCCAAATTCCTGTCTTCAGCTCTTGCCCTGACTTCCATTAGTGGTAAGCTGTGAGCTGGGATGTGTAAGGAAAGAAGACTCTTTATTCATAGTTTCTTTTGGTCATGGTTGTTTATCAGAGCAATATAGAAGCAAACTCAAACTCCTCAGTTGAAGAATGGAAAGTCAAGTCCCTAACAACTCAATGGGCAGAGAGGTCAACAAATCCACACTAGGTTCCTTGCTGCTGTTTTTCTCTGTCTATCCATTTTGCTCTCCCTCCCCTACATCTTCACCCCTGGACCTTTAACCCCTTCAGAGATGGGGACCTGAACTGTGACATGTTAAGAAAGCAGAGCTGAAACTTCCTTTCCCCTTCCAGTCTCTTCTTCATCATGGTCATCTCTGCAGAAAATGTCAGGTTAAGTTCAAGTACCTAGAGGCAGGCAGGTGCCCTTGCAATTGGATACACTGATAAGGGAGAAGAGAAAAAGGGAAAGAACTAAGGGGTCTATGGGTCAAAGATAAACATTTGAGTGCAGGCTGCACTATTCTTGTTTCAACTCTCCCCTATGCCATTAGGTGTTAGGGACTGTATGTAAGTATGTATGAATCCATCTGTCTAACAAGATGTGTGTGTGTGCGTGTGTGTGTAAAACACCAAGAAAGAGGACAGATCACTGGGCCATCTAAAACATACTCAAATGTTTATAACCTAAGAGATAATGCCATATCTGAAGACACACTAGAGAATGTTCCACACTATTGTTCAGTCCCCATAGTCAAGAGTATTAATTTACCAAGAGAATTTGAAAGAACGCTGAACTCAAAGTTTGATTTATTCTCCTCCTTGTCTTCTGAGGATTTTTCATGATGTTCCTCCCTGTACCAGAACTTTACTGCATTAAAGTCCTACTGGGCCTTCAAAGTTCAGCTCAAATGCTGCCTTGCCTCAATACTCCCATCCCTCTGATCTCACCTCTCCTTTCCTGTTCTCTTTAGAACAGGTTACCAAACAAACTATACCATCTTACTTTGCACTGGAAGTGTGTCACAGAACACATCTTTCTCTCTGGCCAGAGATAAGCACCTAATAAATATACACCATACTCATTGTAATGATGAAGGCATTTATGGATCCAGCAGATCAAGAAAAATGATCTGGCATTCAGGTACCTTAAATCCTCAGAAAGCTCTTTATGTTCTCTTGTAGTACCCAAACCCTAATTTCCAGATGTAAATGGACAAAGGTGGGAAGACACACATAATGCCCGGAGTCATACATATAATCTTTCAGAGCCCACTCCTCCCCAGGAGTTGAACTTGGTTCTCAGAAATCCTACTCAGGGACCCAAATGCATATATCAACTTCTGAGACAGTCTTCCTGAAGGGGACCTTAAAGAACCCAAGTACATGTTGAAAACAGAAGGTAGCACAAGACAAAGGAGGCTAGGAGTCAAAATCAAAAGAAACAAGGAAGGGATAACACATCAGTTCCCTTCTTAACTTTAGTACCTACAATCTCTTTGTAGGCCTTCTCAATGGCTTTGGAAAACAAAAGTCAGGGTCAAGTTTCAGTGATAATAATCATTCCACATGGATGAAAGTCAATTCTGCTATAACTTCAGCCATAGAAAGGTCTAATTGGGTCAAGAAGGAATTGGGGAGAGGGTTATTACTCCTAGTGCACCTGTACTATTTGTCAAATGTTTAGTCCTAAAACTGGAATAATACTGTGAATACACAAAATTGAGGCCTCTCAGTCTATTTAAATGGCTGCTATATAGCTCTATCACACTCAGCATAAATATGCCTCCAAATTCTTACATTAATTTCAGAATTTTGTAACAATTATTGCAAACACACATTTGCTTGTATTGCTTGGCATTCAGCTAGGAACTTAGGCCGCCTTAGAACTCTGCATCTCCAGAGCTTCACACAATGCCTTGCCTTTCATCAGGCAAGTATAGAAATGACAGCAGCCTATTTTTAAAAGCAGAATGGAGAGCGGGGTTAGTTCAACTGATGATACCAGAACCTCTTGGGTCTCCTGAGGGATGAATGAAAGAAAGACAAAGAAGCAGGTAGCCTTAAGAAAGTCAAAACTTCAGATTCCTTGTCTAATTTTCCCATTTATAACTTGGTGAGAAATAACAGTGAGGTTATGGGTACTAAGTGGAACCTTCTACAGAAAGTACCAACCAAATGGCTGGCACATAGGCAATACTCAGGTAATGTTATACATGGACTGACTACATTTAAATTTTAGGAAAGGCCATAGATTTCTAACAATTCTGCCCAGTCCATGCCCTTTTCAATGAACCCTTATCCACACACACAAACCAGGTCAAACATTTTTCCAGTCAGGAAATTATCTGCCAGAGTCAGAAAATCCAGAATCCAGACTCTGCCAACCTTACTGGTTTTGCTAAATATTCATTCCTAGAGTCTTCAGAGACCAGCCCTGTCTCTTACTCACTCTCTTCCTTCCCTCCCCTGCCAAACTATTGAAAAGGGATAGAAGGGCTTGTGGCCTGGTGTTGAATAGTATATGGGTGCCGGAAACCAAAAACAATCGTTGAGTTTCAGCATCCAACTTCCAGGCTAATTATTCAGACACCACACCAGAAGAGTCAAAAAAAAAAAAAAAAAAAAAAGAAAAGAAAAGAAAGAAAGGAAAAAAAAAAAAGAAAAACAATAAATGACAAAGCCCATCAAATGAGGATGCTTGACCCTTCAGTCAAGTTCTTGGTATTTCTCATGGTATTTATTTTACAACCACGATCTCCTGGGATCGAAAAGTTGGAAGGACTGATTAGAATGTTTCATAATGGTCTCTGACTTGCGTTTGTGAGAAAGTTAAGTTTAGTTTTCTAGCAGAAGAGGTAAGGTTTGAGTTCTGTATTCCTCCATGTGTAGCTAGTGAAACTTGTGATTAAGCCAAAGAAAAGTTATACAGCTGCAAGCAGCCCTCACTGACTCCATGGTCAAACCATGCATTACTGACTCCGACAAAAAAAAAAAAAAAAAAAAAAAAAAAAAAAAAGTAGGACCTGCCAATTTGATACTACATACCAGAATGATGGGGCTTCTGGGCAATCAGCTGGCATCTCTCTCCTGCCCCTTAAACCAGAGGAGCACCCACTCAGGACCACAAATACTGAGGAGGGTAGCATCTTCATCCTTTTCTCTAGAGAAGACAGAGTAGTGGGGGTCCGCCAAGCAGCTGAGCCTGCCACTCAACTCACCCTTTGAGCTTCAGCTCTGGCTCTCTTGTTCTTTCCATCAAGGGATACACAGTAGAGAAATTCTCTGAGTGCTTCCTCCACTTTGCCTAGGGTGGCTAATGCTTGTGCTTTTCTGAAGTGTGCCTGGAAGAGAACAGTAGCAGTCAATCACATCTTAATCACCTTCTTAATGTAGTTCCTATTAACAGCTATCTCTGAGTACTTACAGAGCAGTCACTATTGGGTGAAGTGTGGTCAAAAGACTTTTATTTTCTTCCCAATAATGATAGCAAACTATTTTAAATCCCATTTAAAAGACAACAAAATGAAGATCCAGAGAGACAACTTGATCATAATCAAGCAGCTGGTAAGCTATGAAGTCAGAGTTTAAACCTGGGATTGACGATATACCAAGCCCATATTCTTAGCTACAGTGCTTACTACCTCCTCTCTACCCCACAACTGTATGAGGATCAAATATGCCAGAGCCTCCAATTTAACCACCGACTATAAGAGCTCAGTTTTCAGTGTTTGTCCAGAGATGACTCACCTCCCTTTGAACTGGTTTCTAAGACAGTCATGGTTTGAGTGAGCCAATCATTTCTACAGAGGCATGAGAGAAGGAACATGGATCCTCCACAAAGGTCACTAGTAACAATCTACTACTGGAATTGTGGCAGACCACCTTCCAGAAGGCTGGTCTGCAAATGAGCCAATGTTTTTGCTTCTAGGTACTTAGCTGTCTTTTCTTCTGTTACTAAATATTTTACAGATATCAGGATGTTTTGTGGTCTCAGGATTCAAATCCAAGTGCTCTGGGATAAATTCTTCAGAAGGGTCTAAGCACTTGAGAGGGGCAAAAGAGCCAAAGAGCACAACTGCTGCCTTCTATTTCACCTTGTATGAAGGAAAAGGCCTAGGTGTCACTTGATGTGCATTTCTCTGACTCCTTTTGGTGTCAGGACCTGGCTCAGCCCTGCCTTCTTGAACAATGGACACAGCCATAAACCTCTTGGGGACCTCTTTCTCAAGCCCTCACTTCTTTCTGGAGCCTAATCTTGATTGTCACACTCCCTTGTTACTCCTGCTAACATTGACCTTCTGGAGAAAGGCTAGCATGACATTATTGAGCAAGTATAGGGAGATAAGTACTGGAGAACTAGAGAGGCTTCTGGGTCCCTAGGAATCATCACAGTAACAACTCACACAACTGACTTTCTTAGGGAGGCCAGCTTACCCCACTGACAGCTATCCTACCAGCAAGGTGTGCTGAATGACATTAAACCCTGGATAGACAGAAAGAACTGGGCTGCCTGTTGGACTTGCTCCCCTGTGGAACCCAATAGCATTTCATACAGAAATGGTGGGAAATACAAAGCTCAAAATGTAGAGGTATATACATCAGACCCTTTCAGCCCCAAAAACAGCAGAGTTATCTGAACTCTCCCTTTCCTTTTGCTTATAGCTGTGGGGACATGACACCCCTAGACAAGTACTTGGACCAATTCTTCCTTCGCTGTAGAAATCCCTTTTCTTACTGTATCTAGAACATGTTTCTCAATTCTTTTCACATTATTGTATCTAGATTTAGTTTTCCAGTGAAAACAGCTACAAGAGAAGCCCCTGTTATCCCAAGGAATCTACCTGACTTGTATGTTAGAGAGCCTGTCCCCATGGCAACTTAAGGTTTTGGTGACTTGTATTAACCTGTAAATATGTTCCTTGGGAAAGAGAACACACTGATCCATCACCATCCATGAAAACTGTCTCATGAAAGACCAATAAGATTCACTCTAATACTATAGGCAGAGTATACCAGTCCACATGGTCTTTCCCCTAAAAGAGCTCTCTGTAATATTCCATGCTGGCCTCAAACTCATGATTCTGCTGAGATTACAGGCCTATGCCACCATATCCAACTTCACAAGGCCTTTTCTATAGTTTGTGGATCTGCAAAACTTCTGATTATCCAATGTTTTTATAGGTTTAACTTCAAAATTCACTAGGCAGCAAAATTAGAACTAAACTGTTGTGAACTGTTTTATAGTTTTTATCATATTCAGTGTGATTGTGTATGTAAATTGCTGCAGAGTATGTTTAATTAGAATGACAAGGAGGTTGCCTGGAGATTATTGAAGGTATTGCCTCATCCATGGTCTTTCGACCATGAGAAACATTGTGGATTCTGAGAACACCTGTCCCTATAAGATTCAGATAAGGCACAGCGGCCCTAGTCTTGGAGACACTGCTTTTTCAACCCTCAGGTTGTACACAGAGGACCACAAACCAAGAACCTGTAATGGTTATAGCTTGTATAATGTTCTATTTGCCAATCTCACCTTTGATCCTTATACTTACCCATGAAACAATCATGGCAGACAGTAATAGCATCATGTAACAAATAAGAGCACTTGAATTTCAGAGAGTGTAGCCATTTTCCTGTGGTCACACTTTGCAAACATTAAGGACCAGACCCAATTCTAATCTTCTAAATAAAATACAGACGTGTGAATGAGGTTGGTTCTGAGGCCAGGCAGAAATGCAGGAACTAATACTTTGTATTCAGGTATCCCTGATCTTGATGTCTACCCTGTATTCCCACTTCTCCCATGTGATGTAGATTGGCGGGGGGATACTGGCATGTTAAATGAGTGTATTAATGATTCAAAATGGCACAAACATTGTGAGAATATGAAGATCTCTCTCTTTCTCTCTCTCTCTCAAAAAAGTTGTTTAAGCTCAAGAAGCCAGTAGACATTCTGAAGGACCAGGACAGGAATGTCTTTCTCATATTCTTCTCCCTTTTATCCCTAGAAATTTATGAGTGATGATGGTGGTGGTAGTGATAAGAAATGCTCAACTAATACTACATGTATTGTTCCAAACATCTTCCCTACTTAATCTCACAACAACCCTATTTACAAGGTATTTTAAAAATAAGCCTGTTATAGATGAGGACATTAGACACAGATAAATTAAGTAATTTTCCCAAGGCTGTACAGTTATGAAAAGTAGCAGAGCTGAGACATGAGGTCAGCCTGTCTTGCTACTGATTGCATGTTTAAAAAAAAATACAAACACCAGGCTATCCTGAAGCTTATCAACTGAATATAGATTTATTGTGATCCCTTGTAGACTTAGACCTCCCTTTATCAAGGGATGCCCTTCACTGTGCAAACAATTTAGAAAGCCCTCTCCCTACTCTGCTAGAGCTGTAGCATCTCTTGCCCAGGGGAACAGCCTTTCCTGCAATCCCTGTCTGCAGCACATCCCCTTGCCATCCCTCCTGACCGACACTCACCTTAAAACCCATTGGCCGGAGTTTACATGCTATTTCTGCATCGTGCAGTGCATCCTCATGAGATTCCAAGGTGAAATAAATTTGAGACCGATTGCTATAAAGCAAATGGTCATTTGGAGCTGCCAAAATGAGAAAAAAGCCCTCATTAATGGCCCCCAGCACAAGCAGGTGATTAAGTCCTGTATGAGGATGGATCTTAAGGAAAGAAAAGTTACCCAAGCTCTTTCTATTGGACCCAAATAATTGTCATTTCTACTCCTAATATTGTCCTGACCAACACTCCAGCTTCTCCATGCAAAGCAGTAATGGTGTTCTCTTTTCCAAGCAATTCCTAGGAGTTGTGGCACCCGTGACACATTAGAAAGTTTCACCTAGAGGAAACCCTGGCACTGTTCTGCAGATGCACACTGCTAGTGTCCAGCAACCTAGCTTCTGAATGAGCCACCATCCAAAAAGAATGAGGCCAGGGAAGAGGGAAAGAGAAAGAGAGAGAGAGAGAGAGAGAGAGAGAGGCAGAGATGACCCCATCTTGACAGCATAAAACAAGTCCGTGTTAGTATTCTAGGTGAGATGACCTGTGGTATTAACAACACCTCGCTTTCTTCCTAACAGCCAATGCATATGAAGCTTTCCTGGGTAAAACAGATAGGCATTTACAAGGTCCATCCTCCCATTGATGGCCAAATGAGAAAGTACCTTGACAAGATGTTTAGAAGTCTTACTCTCACCATCACTGAATTACTAGAGTCTAGGCCTGAACAGGTCCACAATGCACCCATTCTTTAAATAGGAAAAACAAGGTCAATGAGGTGAAGTAACAGGCCATACAGCTGGTTAGAGTCACTGCTAGTTGATGTTAAAATTTTGAGGTTTGGGTAGAGGAAAGTTATTTTTCTCAGCATGGGTACAGCATTTAGAATAACAACAGTAGCTATTTCCAAGATAAATATAGTCTGTTAAAGGGGTCCCTTTTTCTCTGAGAACGGTGAAGGTGGTATTGACATTTTTACCCTGACTGTACCAAGAAAGTTAATAGAGGAATAGAAACATCCTCCCAGGAGAACTGCTGGCAGTGATAGAAGAGGAAGGTGGAAAGGGGCTTTCCTGGCTAGCCTTTGGGGAATGAGTGAAAGGAATTCAGCCTTCCTTAGAATTCTGTAAGTAAGTGGCCAATACCTATTTCATTCATATGACTGCGTTCTTTCTCAAGCTCTGGGCTACAGTTTCTGCTGCCAGAAACAGGGTTCGATGTCTGCCTCTTACCCCATCCCACAGGAGTTATGCTCTGGAATGACCTGGGTGTCTATTACTTGCTCTTAACTTTAGCATAGACTTTACAGTCTCCTCTGTCACTTTTCTGAAACACATACCAGCCCATTGGCAGCTTACAGCCTGCTTTGTTCAGGTGCAGGTGGAGTATTTGTCCTGAGGAAGTGTGTGTCCCTCAGTCTTCATGGCCAGTCAGCCCTGGTTTTGCTCCCTTCTGCATTACCTGTTGCTGGCTTGAGCGGGATTCAACATGTGGAGACTCCACCCCTTCCCTCTTCTACCCATTAGAGTTAGCCTAGAGGGCCCTAGGATACCACAGCCTGGTCTGCTTAGCCCCACTGCCTCCACCCCAGCATGCTTCACTGGACAAGGTGCCCTGCCAGCCCGAAGAGGTACTGGCACCAGCCTGTGGTTCCAAGGCTACTTCCTGGGTCAGAGTGGGAGGAGGCAGGAGACACAAACAGGTCCCTGGGAGAACTCTGGTGCTCCAATCAAGCAGACATGTGGGACTGTCCCAGTTGCCCTTGAAACTACAAAGCCCGCCCTACCACTTCAGACAACTCTTGGAGAAGGTAGACAAAGGTATGGCCCCTTTGTAGCAGCCCCTTGTTTCCTTGGGGATCCTGAGCAGTTGCCTGGTCCTGGCTCCCTTGTATTAGAGGAGTCAAAGGATTCCATGTCAGGGCACAGGCTGTCTAACTGCAGCGGGTGGAGGGGGGCGGGGCAAGTGCATCTATTTCAGCCAAGGATCCTGTGATAGGAAGCGGTGACAATGAGTCACGGGGTAGCCGGGAGCGAGCCCCCCCGCCCCCCGCACACGCTCGCGGGATGGTTTCCGACTCGAGCGTGGCCCACTTCTGTTACCTCAGTGTTACACAATCCCCGCCTGCCTGCCCACCCGCCTGCATGTAGGAAGGGCCGCCGACCGGGGCGGCTGAGGTCCTTATGCAACCAGTGCTCTCCTGACCTAATTCCAGGCCGGAACCACCCCACAGGGAGCCACGGCCCCGGAAGGGACAACTCCCAGAGGCGGGAGCCGCAGACTGGGGTGCAGGCGGCTACCTCTGGCTGGTAAAAGCCAGGAGGACCTCGCGCAGGAGTTTGGGGAAATAGTGCCAGGTTTCTCACTTGGCAGGGAAGGTACCGGCAGGTGTAAGAAAGATCTCCAAAGTGTCCAGGAAAGACAGAGAAATAGAGATGGTGACACTGAGCAAGACAGAAACAGTGACAAAGATGAGAAGAAATGAGAAAAAAAAAAAAGAGAGGAACGGGATGAAACAGAAACTGAGATCAGGAGGCATAAAAGCACAAAAGCAAGCAGGAGATGTAGAAAAGAAGAAAAAAAGCAGTAGAACCAGAGGGACTGGGCACAGCTAAAGAAAGCTAAAGTAGGGAAGTCAAACTCCTAGAACTGTCCCTCCTCATCCTCCCGGGCTAAAGGCAATTCCCTCCCTACTCCCACTCCAGCCTCAGCCCCTCGCACACCCAACTCTGCCCAGAGGTCCATCCCCCATCTGTCTCCCAGGTTCGTTTTCCCGCCCCCTCTCGTCGTGACCAAGCCCCCACAGCCCAGCGGCGCGGCGGAGAACTCACCCAGCCGAACTGCCTCGTTGTACTTGAGCAGAGCTGCCTCCACCTGGCGCTCACGATACAGCCGGTTGCCCTCATGCCGGAGTTGTGACGCCCGCGCGGGGCCCGGAAACAACTTGCCCAGAAGGCCGCTGAGTACCACGTTGACTCTCAGTTGCAGTGGCGCCTGCTGCCCAGCCCGCCGCGTCTCGCGTGCCCTCCCACTGGCCACCATGAGAGCTGAGAGCTTGACCCCACACAGCGCGCAGCGCCTATCGGCGGCCCGCCCACGTTCCAGGCACAGTTTACAAAAGGTGTGGCCGCACCACAAGGACACAGGGTCCGAGAGAAATCCGTGACACTTCCGGCACTTAAAGCCATCCCATACCTCGGGGGCCACGGCAGCAGCCTCCCCTGCCTTTTCCATGGCCGCCTTGCAGCAGCTTGAAGTGCAGCTCTGGTCAGAGGGAGCTGGCGCCACCATCTCCTTTTGCGGGACGCTCTCCGCCAGGCAGCGCACCAGCTGCTCCAGCTGCTCTGCTACTAGCTGATGCCTCTGGGAGAGCTGTCTGTACACCTCGAGGGCTTCCCGAAGGCGCCCATTGAATGCCAAGGCGTCTGCCTGTGTGAGCAGGACTTTGCACTCTGGTGGCGTCGAGGTCCCGGGAGGAGGATGTGTTTGCTCCAGCTCTTGAGTCAGGGGAGGTTCAGAGCTCTCGGGAGTCGCCTCCCGGTGAGCTGCTAAGTCTCCACCGGCCACTGATGCCTCCCGCTCTTCCGGCTCCGCCAGCTCCGTCAGTTCTAAGTTGTTGCTGCCTAGCTCGGCGGGCAAGCTCAACGTCTGTGCAGTCTGAAATGAATCCATTGAGAGAGGGAACTGCGGAGGTTGTTGGTGTGGGAGAGGCGTCTAGGAACAAGAAACTAGCAGGAAAGAGCACCGGCTGGAAGCGATCTGCGCTGCCATGAATGCTGGATTGCCTTGCGCCCCCCTCTGCCTGGCCTTCCGGAGCTCCATGCCGGCTGCCCCGAGCCGCCTAATAACTGTCTTGTCTCAGCAAAGTGTTATATAAAACGTCACCACGTGACGCCCCACCACGCTGCTCATTGGCCGGTAGCTGGGAAATTGTTACAAAACCAGACAGTTTTGTAACAGCGTTGTGCTTGCTTCTTTTGGCTTAGGGTTTCTTGGCTTCTTTTTTGAGGTTGTTTTTGTTTACTCTTAATTTCCCACTCACGGCTTGGGTTCTTTCTGTCTTGGGCGAGGAACGCAACCTCTTCTTCCACGCTTTCCATCTCTAAACTCTATCCCATCTCACATCCAAAGTAGCCAGCAAACAGGTCCGCTCTGCCAGCGGCTTGCTAGAGTCCCCCGCCCCGGAGAAGCCAGTCTCTATAGGTTTCAGACAGGGTAGGCTGGAATGTCAGGCTTCCCTTCCGGGAGCTATGGCTATGGTCTGTAAAGGAAGCTGTTAGCTGAGGGGCACCCCAAGAAGCTCTCACACTTTGTTGCCTAGAAGCCTTAAGTGCCCCCACTGAAGTTCCTGGGTTTCCTGGGGGATTCCCCCTCCCCCCGAAGAGACTTAGGGCAGTTTCCGTAGAGTTCTTTGTTTCCTTCTTAGGAGCAGCCGGTCCTTAGAAGATGAAAGAAGTTGGGCAGCCCATGCTGGGCAGCAAGGGAATGAAGAAAGGATTGCTGACTTGGACCCCAGGGGGTGCCCTCCAGCCCTCCAGCCCTCCCTTCCTCTTTTTCTCCCCTAACTCAGGAACCAGTGCTGAAGCAGGCAGCAGGCATCCAGTTGGGGATTCACTGGCCCCAGGACCCAGAGACCAGATGGGCACAACCTTAAGAGCTGAGTTTGCTGAGTTCCATGGGCACGAGAGAGCAGCAGGCAGAAGATATAGGCTCAAGGTAGAGCGAATCTAGAAGAAAGTCAGAGAATTCGGTCACAGCCCAGCTGACTTCTGGCAAACCCTTGGCCTAGGTTGGTCACAAATAGTAGTGCCTGGGTTGGGCCAGAGCCGGGGAGTTCGGAACCAGGCACCCCTCAGAAATGTTAGACTGGGTTACAAACCACACAGGGGTTTGCTTATTGCTGGCCCCTGAATTTCAGATAAAAGCTGTGAACAAAATGAACAGACAGGTTTCCAGACACAAAGAGATACCTCACTTCAGGACAGTTGCACTGCTCCAAGAAGGAAGGCCAAGCTCAGGCTTGCTCTCAGTTGCACCCTCCTCCACTGCCTGGACAGTGCTCAAAGTAAGATTCCAAGCAGAATGCCACCAAGTTGGCTCCTGCTGTAGCCATTTAGCTGAGAGATCTTGGGCAATATCATCTAAACCTTAGTTTTCACTTCTAAACAAATATCTGGAATAGTTTTAGCTGGGATTAAATCTTGTTTCATAGCTGGAATTGTAGATTCTCTCCCAGCATTGAGGTTCGTTCGTTTATTTATTTATTTATTTATTTATTTATTTATTTATTTTTTATTTATTTATTTATTTTTTGCATTGAGGTTCTTAATCCAGACTTAAGCTAACAAACACCAAGAGTCCCAGAGAATAAGTATAAATACTGTGCAGCACACTTCAGAGTCCCCTCTCCCGTCAGACAGGACAGTGAGGGACAGAGAAGAGAAGGGACAAAGTTCATAAGCTAGAAAAAGAGCAAGAAATGAAAGTGGGTTCAGGATCCAACCAGGAAGGCTGTTTAATTTTAGTTTTGTCATACTTTGCTGTCAGACAGAGCCTGGAGAAATCCGTGGGGGTCTTAAAGTTTCCTCCAGCCCTAACCCTGAGAGTTCTTGTTCCTAAAAAACAGATTTCAGGGGTTAACTACCCCAGAAATTCCTTGGCAGGGTTGGGGCATGCTTGGGACTGGAGAGTGAATTCAGCAGCAGCGGATTAGCAGGTGGCTGTCTCCTATCAGAGTCCAGACTGAGCTAGATTTTGAAGCTAGGGGATCCATCAGGAGACTGACCAGGACATGGAGGAGATGGAGCTAAGTTAGTAGGGAAGAAGCAGTTTCTGGTAGCTTGCTGTCTGGGACTAGGACACTCCCTTCTCCCTCCCCCATTTACTCTGTTGTCAAATGAATTCCCAGAAGTTGTTATATGCCTACCGTTTCTGGCACATATTAAGGAAGACCAATCTGTAGGACATGAAGATATTCATATGCAAGGACCATGACACTGGTAACAGTGAAACCTCTTAATTTAAAAGCATTATCCCTTTGATAGCTCTAAAACGTTAGCCCAAATTGTCTTTCAAAGGCAGAGATGAGGAAGTGCCTTGATTATCAAACCACTCTGTATAGTAAGCTCCTTTAATTTACCCCTCCTTAACCAAATGTTGATGGGAAAACAAGGATGTCAGGCTATTATTTGCAGAGTCACAGTTCTGCATGCATGGAAAAGGGTGCACTCTCCAGGCACCTTCTGGACACCTGCATGTACAGGATGTTGACCATGAACTTGGTTAGGAATTTTTCTGATTATCAGGGTAATATAGGGTGATCAGCTGCAAAAGGCAGTTATGCCTACTTGGTTGCTGACCAGACCAGTCTCCACAGAAAAGCTTTACCACTGTAGTAGACTACACCCAATGAGCAGTCTACCGGATGTTAGGGGAACTACCACAGTGTTTTTCTTTTCTTCTTTAGGTTATACAAACACTAGTTTCATATATGTTTGTAGATCAAGGTGGAGGCTTTCTTACTGAAAATAACTTCTTTCATGCTCTTAATAACTGGGAAATCCCTGGAGTGAGGGGGAGAGGAGGGAGTTGGCAATGCTTTCTTTTCAGATGCATATATCCCCACTGAAAGATCATATCCCATATATTTTGTGAAGATTGCACATGGTCAAAGTAAGCGGGGGAGAGAGCAAGAATTGAAACATGTCTCATTTTTATTGATCACAAGAAGTTTTCCAGTTGGGCTCTGAGGAACCTCCATGAGTCCCAGAGGAGAAAGTAAGCATAACTGGAACCTCTAGTTCCTCCTCTCAACCAAGACAGCATCACACTTATATCATTCATATAGTGAGCTTCTAGATAAAATTTTCATTAAATATCTCTCTTTAAACTAAAAGTCTAAGAGTCATGGATATTTTCATGCATCTTCAGACATTTACATTGACTATTTACATTTACATCGTCTATGTAGTAGCCCTATTCTAGGTATTGGAACTTTTCTTAAACAACCCTTAACTCCCAGGAATTTTTTTTTATAGTAGTACATCTTTTCCCACATGTCTATGCACTGACTTTCTGAGTAAACTAGATGCTCTATGTAGGAAACAACAAAACAACAACAACAAAAACAAGACAACAACAACAACGAAAAAACAAAAATCAAAAACAAAACCTGATGTCATGTGTATTTCTTGTCCTCTCCAGAACATGTTACTTGAACAGGTTTTATCAAACATAATAACGAACATTTTAATCCAAACTGGAAACATACACAGGGGCAAGCAGAAATTCAGCTGGAATTGTACCTCTGTACCGGTTCATTCATTAAGTGGACAGAGCAGGCATGTAGATAGTGAGTATTTGACATTCCTGGGACAGAAGAGTTCAATCAAAGCAAAGGACATGGGTGAGAAGTAAGCAGCATTTTCCTCTAAACATACACAATGCATGGGAGGTTGGCCAAATCACATACTTTGCTCTCTAGCCAAGTTTCTCATTTCAGAACCTGGGATCAATTTATACTCTCTAAAGATCTTCACACTTTCACATGAGAAAAGGATTGTTCATTGCTACGAAGAATAGCTCAAGGCTAGCACAGGAAGCTTATTTATCAGCCCTGGTTTCACAAATGAGGAAACTAAATGCCAGAGAAAACTAGTAACTTACTTACAGGTCACAATGGGAGTTTAGGACAGAGCCAGGATCAGAAGCCAGGGCTTCTGTGTCTATGAGAGTTTTCCCATGTGAACATTTTGCTTCCAAAGGACACAGAGCATCTGTCCAAATAAGAAATTATGTTAGATTTCCTATCCACAAGGCTCCCATCAGTTCAATCAATGTGCACTGAGTATGTACTGTGTGCTAACAAAGCTGGCATCTGTGGAGCAATAATAGAAGGATGGGATGTACACACTCCCTACTCTCCAGTAGCTCCCTGGGGAAGTGAGAATCAAAGATCCGAAGCAGTTTAGGGAAGACAACTACAGTATGTAAGAAGCACCAAGAGAGGGGAACAGTGCATTCATGGGAATGCTCAAAGACAACAGAAGGCAGTGTTTCCCATCTCACAAACAAGGTGCCTGTCAGCTAGGGGACAGGATTTGAACAGCTGCTTTACTTGGGGCAGGAAGTAACATTCCAAGCTGAGCTACTCAAGCCCTATGGTGCCTTTTTGTGGTGCTGGGGATTGAAGCCAGGGTCTTACACATGCTCAGCAGGTGCTCTACCTTTTCACTGTACTCCTAGCCCAAGCATTCATAGTTTTAAAAGCTCTCCAGGTAATTGTCATGTTCCATTTAGTTTAGTGTTCACTTGTGGAAAGGATGGGGCAGATATTTTTTTTCCATAATTCAACCTCAGTATTCCCAAAGAACCCCATGGACATCAAGAGTCCTTTGCTACATTTGAGTGGAGGGCAAACTGAAGGTCTAGACAATGGTGAGGCCTCCTTGCCAAGCAGGAAACAAAGAAAGATCATAAAATACTAAACTGAGGAAGGTTTACTTTATTTAACACCAAGACATTTCAGACCTGCTTCCATAGCCAGTGAATCTATTGTCCAAACTACAAAAACAAGAGCAAGGTTGTGGAGCTGGCAGCCACATAGGAAAGCCACTGGTGAGGATTGTTGCTGGGAGTGTACTGTTTTGACTTCACTGTGTGACTCAGCCCAAACCACCTTTCTCTCCTTTTTGTCTGTTCTTCACCTATTAATGATAATGTCCAATGTCACTGTCAGGATTAGCTCCCAGTGATGGAAAAGGCACAGCCATCTGCCAATGGTTGTGAGTAAAATGTGTGTGTACCTCCTTCAGAATAAGCATCT